ATATTGGCCATGATCTTCATGACTTGGGGCTCGAAGCCCATATCAAACATGCGATCCGCTTCGTCCAAGACAACATAGGTGACTCTCCGCAGATTAGTGACTCTGCCCGCATTCGCCGCTAGAAGGTCAATCATCCGTCCCGGGGTACACACAACAATCTCGGCGCCACGCTTCAGTTCGGCAATCTGGTCCTTGATGGGAGCACCGCCATACGCACAAACGGCCCGAAGATTCAACGCCTTCAAGAAGGGCTTGCAATCCTTGTGGATCTGAGTCGCAAGCTCACGTGTGGGTGTCATGATAAGGCCAATAGGTCCTTCCATGTTCTCCAGCGGCCGTTGGTCTTTGATATGTCGGAACATAGGAATCAGGAAAGCGATTGTTTTACCTGAACCAGTCTTGGCCACACCGATCACATCGCGGCCAGACATAATCGCAGGAATGGCCTGTGATTGAATTGAGGTGGGATTCTCGTAGCCGAGCCTTTGAATAACATCCAGCGTCTGCACGCCCAACCCGCACTGTGTCCATTTCAGAACCGGTTTGGGCACGTCAACTCCGCGCACTTTGATTCCGTCAAGTTCCAGCCGTAAGCTGGCAGCTTCTTCATCGGTCATTTCAGCCAAGTTGGAAGGCTCGTTGTAAAACTTCTTACGGAAGGGCTCGTATTCCATCTTTTCATGGTTAACGGCAGGGATGTCCTTTTTCTTCTTAGCTTTGTTAGCAATCGCAAGAAAGTCATCAGCATCACCCTCGCCCACGGCGGTCAAATCCACATCGTGTTCGTCGCCGAAGATCGCCTCGGGCTGCTGTTCCTTCGCTTTGGCAAATCTGGCGCCAGATGTCTTCTTTGGCGGAGCGGTCTCGGCCAGTTCCGACATGAAAGCATCTAGTGGATCAACTTCCTCCTCCGCTGCATCGACCTCCATTTGCTCGGATTCTGGTTGGTGAGGGACGTCATTCATCTCGACGTCACCGTTGGGCTGAGGCGCAGCCTCTTTTGACTGGGCCCGCAGAGCTTCACTCTGCAAGCGTTCTTCACGCCGTTCCGCAGCAGCTCGAGCGGCGGCCGCATTCTCCTCCTCAGTCCCACCGTCCTGCATGTCGACATCATCTTCATCCTCTACCGCGGCATCCTCAGCCACCGTCTCATCTTTCGCGTCCTCTAGTGGCGGGGTCGGTAAACGCTCCAATTTCTTTCGTTTGGCTTCCTCTTCACCAAAACCGAGAGTCTTAACTGCCGACGATTTCTCCGCATCTGCAACTTGCCTAGCGCCTAACCCAAAACCGCCAACATTCCGTTTTGCTGTCAACGTAGCTGCACAAGAAACGATTAGCAGTTTGAAAAAACAACCTTATGACGGGAATAGATGACTTACATGAAGTAGTGCTGATGGCGGCTGGAGGTTTGTTAGCTTGTACATGATTATTCATGGAGGAAAAGGAAGCGGACGCTTTGGCAGACTGAGGAACGGCGACATCGTTACCAAGCACAGACGGTGCACTTGGGACCGGTGCCGCATTTCGTACAATAGCCTTTGGGTCAAATTTGCCAGCATACGGAGCAGGAGTGGCATCTGTGGTAGGCGTCGCTGGAGACTGCGGAGAGCCAACAGCCGGTGATAGACCCGACTTCCTATCTATCTCTTCCAAGATACTTCTTGCTCCGCCAGCTGCAGCGGCTTCGCGCTGCTTCCGTTCTCTCTCAGCAGCTTGCTTTTGCTTCCAGGCTTCTAATTTTGCCAGCCTTTCAGCTCTTTTCTCGTCCTCGGTTGGAGCCGCGGGCGCAGGGGTGGATGGCTTCGAGGCCTATCCACTTATTAGCATCAGCTTCATAGATATTTTCAAGAGCATATAAGTCGAGCTTACCTCTCGCGACTTGGAATCCAGGTTCCTTGTCCGACTATCGTCCCGTCTAGACTTGTGCTTCAAGTCAGCAGAATCGTCTGTTCGCCTCCGAGCCCGGTCGCGGGAATCATCTCGCCTGCTTCGATAATCTCTTTCGCGACTTTTCCGGCGGTGATCCCGGTCATCGCCTCTATCTCTTGAACGACGTCGTTCGCGAGAACGATCCCTCCGGCTTGGTCGATAGCTATCTTCATCCCGATGATCGTCGCGTCTGTCTACGGAGCGGTCACGTCTCCGGTATGAATCGCGGTCACGGTCGCGGTATCGTCTCTGTGGAAGTTGTGACGTTAGGATAATGATACAGAAACCAGAAATTGAGCGACTGAAGCGGCAAGGGACATACCTCAGGGCTACGAGATCTCCGATAACTCCTCCCATCATCTCGCCTGCTTTTCTCGTAGCGATCATCATCTCTGCGACTCCGTCTGGATGAAGAGTATGTGCTGCCTACAGGTGATGGTGAGCGAGTATCCCCGTGGCGAGCCATTGTTGCAGGCCAACGATGAGTGAGTATTACTGAAACTCCAAAGAAACTCGAGCACGTAGTCAGAAAAGTAAAGCAATTTATTACCCTTCCATCGGCTGTTGAACTGTTGTTGACGGGTAATCAATAATCGGTACTGGTAGTAGTGAGTTGGTGGCGATGTAAGTGATTGGTTTTCGCTCGGGCTGTGGTTCTTCCTTGAAGTCTATCTTGGAAGTAGTGTCAAGTCAATGCCCGCAACGCGTCTCACGTGATGCAATGTATGATCTACGTCACGTGAGGTACTATCCCCAATTCGGAATTCCCCAAACGAACCAAGGACGTGACCCAGCCCCCCCGGTTTCATCTGTGGCTAGCTAACCACTGCAGCCAAGAGCTCTTGCTTAGCTAGGACGACCTGCCCATCTTACTGCGATTCCTGGATTTCTTTCCACCTTGACCCTTGGGACATTGGTGCGCGTAACTTCGATTTGAGTTCAGAATATGCCTCGAAATATAATCCAAGGCGGAGGGGGCATCCTCCGATACCTTCATCGCAGCAATGCCTTGGTTCACCCCTCTCGCGTGGCCATCGCCAATGGCCTTGTCCGACGCATTTGTGTCTCTACGAACCGTCAGCTCGTGAACCCGATTACGAAAACAATCCGCCCTTCAGTCATTCTATCACGCCCTTTGATCAGTTCCTTTGCGACTACAAGTACTCCCGATGATGAGACCGAGACAACAAAGGCGAAAGGATCCAAAACTGGCAAGAAGACCACGAAGAAAGGCAGCTCGGAAGCTAAAGCTAAAGCTAAGCCGAAGCCCCGCAAGAAGATGACAGACAAGCAGAAGGAAGCCAAGAAAGCCGAGAAGGTGAAGGAACTGGTCAAGCAGCTCAAGAAGACAGCGCTGGAACCTCCCAAAAAACTTATAGAGAATCCTTGGAATCTCGCTATCGCAACGGTGTCCAAAGAGATTCATGCACGCGGCGTCAAAGGACCAGACTTCGTCGCGCAATGTTCCCAACTCGCGCAGTCCATCAGCGCGGAAGAGCGTGAGGTACGTTCGGGATAGATCAACCCACCACTGTACAATCACTGATCTCTACAATTTAGCGTATTGCGGCCGAGGCAGAAGCTAATAAAGCTGCCAATGCGGCAGCTTATGACGCATGGATCCACCAGCACACTCCTCTTCAGATCAGAGACGCCAATGCAGCACGCCGCAGACTCAACAAGATTAAGAACACATCTCTTCGACTTCTCCGTGACGATCGGCAGGTCAAGCGGCCTCGTACGGCATACCTGCTTTACATGCTGGACCGGACTGCCGAGGGCGACTTCAAATATATGAAGGCCAAGGATATCGCAGTGCGCGTAACAGAGGAATGGAAAGGCCTGACATCTACGGAGAAGGAGGTATGTTTGGATCTGTCTTTCCGCCGGCAGCCATCAGCCATCGATCAATGAAGCTGACAGAGCCCTTCTAGAAATACCTCAGACAAGCTGAAGAGGATCGTGAGCGGTACCGCCAAGAATACTTTGCAGTCTATGGTGAAGAACCATCAACTTCTCGCTCAACAACCGCGTCTCCAAGTCCTTGAGATCAATGCTTTTACTAAAAGATATTGTCACCTCACCTCAAGGGATCGTCGCAAATCATGCCCGAGTTTGGAATGCGGGAAAGAATTGTCCTCTTTATGGCTTACATGTACCCCGTAGGTATCTTCGTCCTGTCTGTGCCCTTTATCCGGTGACTTTTTTCCACTGCGGTCTCTCTTGATACACCTCGGCCAGCTGTCTTATTCTGTACTTTATTGATTCCTCTGATCCATGGGCTATGTGCGTTCGTGATTCCTGTAGACAAATGATATTATGGTCCTGATTGCCCTCGATACACATAAGCACGTATGGCTGCGTCCCATTGCAAGGACGATTGATTGCCCTATAGCCAGTAGTTTCGACGGGTGGTTATGGTAGTATCAGCTCTGGAAAGCCACCCACAAGGTACTCCCTCCTTCAGCTCTACTCCTGCGGCGGTGGGATGTGACTAGTGTAGAGTCTATTTTTGGGACCGCAGTCCGCAGCAAAGGGGTCGCCAATTTACGAAGCAGATTGACAAAGCCTCCAGATAATGTTTGTTTACTGGGATTGAGGTTGTTGAACATGAAAAGTATATTTTGAATCCCTTCCCTGAGGCCTGTAGCTCCATGACCGAGTGGGAAGTCTGAAAGGGCGCATATAACTTCTGACTGCGTTGATGATTGTTGCTTGAGAACGGCTGAGCAGATGGGAAGCTTTGTTTTCCATGCCCTGTTTGTCCTATGTGCTTGAAGCAGGTGAGGAATGGTATATGTATATATGCTGTTGAGCAATATTGGAGAACCAATTCACCTCACTCACAGGATCCTCTGATGAGATATTGGGTACTCCATTCACTGACATTTACAAAGCATGTCTGGAGGAATCGCATATCTTCGCATCCCCGCGACCAGGCATTGCTCCTACTTTAGAGAGCCCAGTTCAAAAAGTCTATGGTAAAGACTGTCCCGTCAATGGAGTTATCGTTATATAGTAATATGTACATAAGTGGTTCGATCGACCTACCCATCCTGCTTTTCCGCACTCTAGTCCGGGATACTGTATGGAAGTTCACCATTCCCTCCTCTCAGCGTCGTCTGAATAAATCCACCTGACTCGTGCCACTCGCGTTCACATAGCTTCATCCCCACCGGACTCGACACCATGCGGTCCAGCGCCTCGACCACCCGGTACTCCCAGTCGATCTTGGTGCCCACTTCCCACGCCAGCATATTGCAGTGAACCAAGATCCGCCAGCAGTAGTCCAAATGCCGCCGTAGCTGCCTCCGGTTCCGTCGATGAAGTGGATCATGCGGCACCGGGAGCCCCAAACGCGATCGATCATACTCTGTGCAGGCCGTGATCTGCAGAACCAGCTCCTGCGGCAACCCTGCCGCCCGAAGATACGCTTCAACCCGCGCCACGTCGACTGCGCTTCGGGTCTGATGCTGGCCGCCGGCGGCCCTCCCCTTCCCGCAAGCCAAGAACTCCTCGAAAGGCAGTTTGCCGTAGGGGAAACTTTCGTCGTCTACGGAGAGCACCGAGATCTGTTCTGGCGTGGACTCGAGCCCCCAGCTGCTCTTTGCCATCTTCTCGCGCAGTTGTGCAAGGACAGGCCGGTCCCAACCGCGCGAGACGTGTAGCACGTAGCCAAAATGGCCCTCCAGGCCGAAAAATTGCCGGTGAGGGTGGCGGGCGACCTCGCTTTCCGACTCGTCGTGAGTCCAGGTTTTGACAGTCTGCTGATACATCCGCGTGGCGCGGTACTCATCGGACCGTTTCTTGTTTCGGGCTTGCCGGGACGCTGGGTCCCGGAGCTCGGGAAAGCAGTAAAGGATGTTGAGAAGGAGGTAGATGTTTAGAGCGGCCTCGAAGACTTGGTCCCAGCCAAGATCTGGGCTCTATAATCAGTCAGTTGGGCTGCCCTTTTTTTGACATTGATGAAGAACTGCAGGACCAGGCCTGAAAAATACGCCTACTCACCATACATCGACAAGTCCTTACAAGCATCGATTTCTGCAGATTGTTATCTGGAGTCGCGCACAGTCGCAGCACGGTATCCATCTCCCCCAGAACAAGAAGCGCGTTCAGCACCTGCAAATTGTAGAACGCCTCAGCATTTTCGGTAAAAAAAGTGTAGCAACTGTCGTAACTATATGACCGCTGGAAAGCGGCTCCTTTCCGTTCGTGGTAGGGTAGGGGACACCCACAGGCAAAGCTCGCGCTGTTGACATGTCGGCATAGCCCTTCTGTCTTCTGGATCTTATCCTTCAGCGGCCAGCTGTAGGCCTTGCACCATCGGTGGGCGAGGGGGCGGATTTGCTCCGCCACGTGGTCGTTCAGGATCAGCTCGTCCGGCGTGAAGGGTGAGTATCGCTCTGGGTACCTTTGGCGCTCGTCCTGAGTATGCTTTTCGAGAGTCCTTACGAAGGACTCGATGAAGGAGCCGATTTCCTGCCCTTGCGTAGGTTTGAACCGAAAGTACAGATTGGAGGCTAGGTCTGCCGCGGGGTATGAGGGAGAGCGATGGATCAGGTTAGCAGCTAGGATGTCCCAGTTGATGTTGTGCTCTTCGTGCGCCATTATCCTCGTCACCCTGAATCTCTACTTCGGAATAGGCGGCTTTGAGTGAGCGACTGAGCATACATGTGCGGTTTTACAAAACGCAAAAGATCATGGTACGATCAATCGTACGGAAGCTTGACGACCGACTCACAGAGGATGCGATCGAGCGGGTCCTTCCCCTAGACTGTTGAATTTGTTGAGTTTGAGTTTGAACGATCGTGTGAGTCAAGTGAGTCAAGTACCACAAGTATATATAGGCAGCGATTTGATCGAGTCTATGTCCTCGGATCAGAGCCGGGATAGGATGAGACTAGGATGTTTTGAGACTCCGATCAACGCTAAGAGGTAGTATGGCCAACACCGCCTCATCTTGAGCAATAGGAAGTGGATCCTGATGCCAGACATGGTGATGCATGATCTCTAACCAGTCTCTCTGGACACAGTCTGGATTACTTGCTGATCGACGATGTTGCTCTGGTGAAGACAGCAGCCTGTTTATACTCCTTGGCATCACCCGACAGCTTAGCTTTAAAAGCTCATCGCCTTCCTTGAATGTGGTGAATCTGTGATGATAAGTGGTACGTACACTTCTGCGAGCAGCGTAGCCTTGATTCTCTGAGCCATCCCTGCTCTGTATTTGCGTGGTTTGTTCAGCGCTCCTATCAACTACTCTTGACTTGGCGAACACCAGCCATGTTGACGCTAGCCAGTCTCTTGTGCAATTACGACATTCATCAACAGATGAAGGGGGTGGCGCAAAACGCGCGGCATGATGAATGGGGCAATGGCGGGAATGCCTTACCAAAATCTCTCAGGCACGGAGGAAAATGCGGAAAACGCGGAAACAGAACGATGAAGTATGCAACAAAGTTGAAGCAGTGATGGAGGGCGACTTTATAGAACATGCACGTCAATGCCAAGCGACAACAGGGGCCTTTCCCGCATAGGGACGCTATACTGTTTCCAGTAATTCGCTGTCTACTGAGTACCTTAGGAAAGCTGACCAAAGTACGGAGTATTAATCGATTACCTTATTGAAGTAAAGTTGGTCCGCATTGTAAACCCACCAAACAGAATAGATGCATTCAGCGAGATCGTGAGGACCGCGGGAATCAATATATCCTTGTCTAGTTAGTCCGAGAACGCCCAAGGTCGATACATTGCCTGGCGTCTACGAGTCATTGCCTATTTAGGAAAAGCAGATAGGGACCTTATGGACTGGGGGATTGCAGTGTTAATGCTCCCTGGCGCGCTGCTTATTTGCTTGTTCTATTTGCTTCCCAGGATTTCTTCTCCTTCTTCTATATACTCCATCTCTCTCTCTCTCTCTCTCTCTCTCTCTCCAGCTTCAACTTCAGTACAACAAGCTGACAGTGAAATTGAGCAATATGCCTGTGCCTGGGTATTATCAGCAGAGGAGAATGAACTACCGTGCTCGCAATGTAAGATATGACTTTTAGCTCTTCTGTTACTGCATGACCCTTTCAACACCTGTTTGCATGTCATTCTCAAGGACCATGGCAGATTTGAGGCCTGTGGATGGGTTTTCACTTCAGAAGGTTAACTGATACAGACCGAGCAGGACTCCGATACCGATGACACACACAGTGTGCACTCATCTCTCAGTCATGGCGCAAGTACTCTGTTCAGTCACGATGACCGTTCCTCTGTTTCATCGGGACCAGTATCGGTGCCATCAGTGCATGCTCTACCTCACCGAGGTGCCAGCCTCCGTTTTCGACCTGAAATCATCTACCCAGACCGTTTCACACTGGCGGACATCGAGGTGCCTCGAGGGCCGTGGGTTTACCTTGCATGCCCAGGGTCCAAGCGCAAGTGTCCACATTGCAAAGTTCATGTGAGCCACAGCGACCATGTTGTGGTAGCAGTTGACGGAGCATGCTCAAAGAACGGCAAAGACGGAGCTCGCTCATCGTATGGAGTGTTCTGGGGTCATAACAACCTGCTGAACACCGCGGTGCCTGTTGAGAGAGAAAATCACCACACGAACCAGGTAGCCGATTTACGGGCGTGCATGAGAGCATTGCTGGACGTAGTGCACGTCAAATCTCTCTTTGAGGACCAAGGCGGTGCTCTCAGTGCGGTTGTCATCAAGTCCGACTCGGAGTATCTAGTCCGCGGCGTCACTGAATGGCTCCCCAAATGGAAGAGGAATGGCTGGAAGAACAGCAGGGGATTGGATGTGGCGAATTGGGAACATTTCAAGGCGATTGAGCTTCTCACTGAGGATTTGGAGAGACAAAAAATAATCGTCAAGTTCTGGCATGTACCTCGGAGGAATAATCGCGACGCAGATGCAATGGCGAAGGCCGTCTTGAGGAGCGTCTGGAACCGGGGATTGGGTTGGCTTCCTCCATTCTAGGGCGTGCCTTGTGGATCTGGACAATTTTTATCACTTATGAGTGCTTCTGGGCGATGCGAAGACGATCTTTTTATTCAAATGGAGTCATGTTAGTGGGGTGTACTGTAGATGTGTCACTGAGGATGAGCTAGAGACAGAGCCAGAAGAGCTTTATGCGTGCATATTTATCTCGTACTCCTTCCTGGCCTTCTTCTAAGAACAGAAAGAAACGATTACCAATTGCATTGGTCCTGTTTAGGCAAACAGGAATGCCTGATGCTAAAACTGCAGAGGAAAGATGGACGTGAACATGAAGGCCAACCTTGGCTTCACCGACAAAGCAACAACAGGGGTATCGGGACCACCCTGTCTGTTCAGACACGCCATAAAGAGTGTCCCACATTCCTACTGTGCCTCTATCCAAGTTTCGAGCCCTAGTGTGCATATACTCCGTAGGGCCGCGGTGGGGAGAACGGGAATGGCCGTGCCATGCATGGTTTATGGGGAGACTGCCTGAGCGATGGACGATCTGTCAATGTCCATAACATAAGTCAATGCTCAAGCACAGCGGTGGTGATGCGTTAGGCTAATAACTACTCTGCTCTCGGACATCGTATGGACTTGTTACTAGTCTCGAGGTACAGAGGACAGACTCATAGTTGCAGAGAGCTACGTAGCAGATATGGCTGCCAGTCAGCACGATTATGGGTCTCGAATGCCAACACGCGCTCTCATAGGTGGAGGCAAAGTCTTCGCCTTCGATGCGGTGAAGAAAATGGACAACAACAGAAGTTCAGAAACCCGCCAGTCTTTATAGTTATCCGAGGATGTTTGGCTGAGGGCGAATGGAAGTCGCCAGATGTTGGTTTTTTTCAATCCCTCTGCTGCCCGAAATCCTCGTTGCATGCATTAGGAACTTGTTACGCGTTGGGGCCTTCCGAGGAAAGTTTTGGGTCTGTAGAATGCGAATAATTGAAGCATCTCATCGGAAGGCACCTTCGCGCTTCCTTGGTTCACCATAATAATATCATTGTCCGATGTTTAAGTAAAGTAGGTGTGTTCCATGTGTCGAGACCGTGAAGTTGCACGGTTCTGTGGAAGTTCTCCACTATGTTCCAGGGTACTACTGTAAGCCTGTTAAGTAACTAGTTAGTCCCATACAAGATGACTCCGCAGTAGGAAAAAGAACAACGCAAACTTGCAAGGGCTCGTGTACGCTGTATATAGTTAATCGGCACATATTATTATTAAGATAGTTCTAGTGAAGAGGGTATATAGAATCAGGTCGTCTCCATATATATACTTCTTGTCTGGGTACTCACTCTTGTATGCTCCATACCCCGTACGCAGTACACTAAATCAATCCCAAGGAGGGGGGCATTCGTTATCGATAGGATCGCCCTCCCACCACCGACATTCCACCAGCTTTGTGAGTCGCTCGTGCCTGCGTGACTCTTCACCTTTCCTGCTCATAAGACCCCAACCTGTTACAATTCGGAGCTTTTCTCCCATCTCTGATTTGAACGTATCTGCTAACTGGATCCAAATTCTTCCAGTCCTCCGAGGTAGAGACCAGCGCTTGTCCCCGTTGGTCCTCCATTCCCCAGCCACCGCTTTGCAGATTTTATACCCCGTTCAATACGCAGTACCTACATCAGCAATTCTTCCCGTCCTCTGAGTGGCCACGCTGATCAACGTGCATTTTGATTGAGACGATCAGACCGGAAGGGGGAAAAAGTAAAGAAAAAGTCAAGAGATACTCGAAAGAGGGGAACAACAACAAAGATTTTGATGTTTCACGCAAACGCAAAGTCCGCCTCTGAGATTGAATATACATCTGCTGCGTCCAACGTATCGCAGGCTCTTCTTAACTGGCCTGCGTACTTCGTACATTAGTTCGCATTCCTAGCCCCAGTCCATCCCATACCAGTTCGTCCAATCCCGACGTGATCTTCTCGAGACGATCTTCAAATAGCGCTGCTCTCCTACGTTCCTTCCCACCGTTTGATGGTCACGAATCACGACGCTTTATGATCTTTTGTCATATCCTTGTGACTGCGACTGCTACTCCCTGTTGAATTTTTTTCTTGCTCTTCTCCAACTCCTCTTGCGCCTCGCATTCCCGCCATTGAGCCTGCGATCCGATCACATTCCTCGCCGCCTGTCGCAAATCGCAATCCCAAAGTACTTCATGGTTTTGCGTTCCACATAGTGCAACCTTGAGCGGGTAGCATTTTTTTTTTTTTGTCCTTTGTACAGGGAGGCTTTCTCGTTTTCGCCATCTCACTTCTACGTTCATTTTCTCTCATATTGTGTCGATTGACAGTATATTTGAATCCTGCGCTTGTCAGTCGTCGAGAACAACTCTGAGTTGCCTCGACTGAGGCCGGTATATCCTCGGTATCCATGAGTTTACTATAACTACTAAGTGACGGGCTACCGTTCGACAGTCGGTCGCCTTGCAGCATGGAAGGAGTCCGTATCGTTCCTAATGCTGGGCTTGCAGCGGATTTTGGAGCCAGTTTACTCCCGTCATTGACTCAGCGCAACATTCTCAGCCATGACCTTATCAGCAATAGGCGTTGGCAACAGGACTGGTTTGCAAGTGCTGGTGTCAAAGGCAGGATTACAACGCGCCAAGTAGGTGCTCGCCAGTTAAGCTCTGAGAATGAGTATGAACGGCGCCTATTGAGGTCTGACCTTAAGGGCATCCTCGACAAGGTAGGAGATTTCTCCGTGTTCCTTCCAGCCCTAACCATGAGGCCAGTCTGTATCATCTCGAATCGAGCGATAGTACTAACGGGCACCTTTTCTGAAAGGATTCGACGAGACCTCTAAACTTTTTCTTCAATGGAAATCTAGCTTTCGAGTCGGGCCTTGATACATGGGATCCGCCCGACTACGATCAACCCCCTCCATCGTACCAGGATGCGGTTAATGACCTACCTCCTGATTATGACACACTCTCCCCGTTAGCCCGACAGAAAGACCTGATTGACGAATCAGCGCCAGGTAAAATTTCGGGGGTTTTCGAGGACAACTCTTCTTCTGGGCCTATTGACTTCGACGATCCGACCGGTATCCGAGAATACAAAGGAGGAAAGAAGAAGAAGAAAGGAGGAGGCGGTGGAGGCGGGGGCGGAGGCGGAGGCGGAGGGGCACCACCGCCGCAAGAGAGTACACCACCACCAGATGATAACGGTGGAGAGCAGCCGAATGAAGGTGGAGATGCCGGACAGAACAATGGCGATGGAGGGAATGACGGCGGGGACCCTGGCGATGGGAACAACGGGGGTGATGGAAATGGTGACGGCGGTGACGGAGGCGATGACTGGGATGCTTGGAACACCACCAGCAGCAAAAAGGATAAGAAGAAGAAAAAGAAGGAAGAGGAAGAAGAACGGATGAGGAAAGAAGAGGAGGAGCGGCTAGCGAAGGAGGAGGAGGAACGGAAGGCGAAAGAGGAAGAAGAACGAAAAGCAGCCGAGGAAGCAGCGGCTGCTCAGGCTAACAGTCTCAGTTGGGCTGATGAAGCTGACGGGGCTGGGGACGATTCGTGGGGGGGGTTTGCCACAGTTGGGAAGAAAAAGAAGAAGAAGGGAAAGGTATGGCACTTTCCAAGGGCCCTTGAGGCATCGTCTTCTAATTCATGAGCAGGATATCGATCCGCCACCTGTTGAGGCACCGCCGAACGCCTTTCAGGATGTGAGTCTGAATGATAGTGGGGTCCCCCAGTTGGACCTGAATCTTGATCCCCCTGCTGCCAACAATGGTGGTGCTGGCTTCAGTTTCGGAGGATGGGGCAAGGATTGGAACACCGGAAGTAAATGGGGTCTGGACTCTCTCAATATGAATGGCAACGGCAATGCCGATAGTGGAAAGAGTACCAACCCTTGGGGCGCCATTGGCAGTAAGAAAGGCCCCTCAAAGAGCCCTGGTGGTTTTGATTTCGGGGACTTTGGAAACTCAGGTGATGCCGGGCAGGAGGATGCTCCTGCAGGAGAGAAGAAGCCTGAAGATGATATTTGGGCTGATTTCGCGCCAGTTAGCGCTAAGGATAAGAAGAAGAAAAAGAAAGATGTTCTGGAGGAACTCCCCAAGGAACCTGAGCCTGAGCCTGAACCGCTACCAACTCCTGAACCAGCACCTGCGGTAGATGATAGCTGGGCGGCCGGTCTTTCCAAGAAGGAAAAGCGAAAGGCAAAGAAAGGGCTTACCAAAGTTGCCGAGGAGCCGCAGGCTCCTGAGCCTGTCATTGAGGGACCGAAAACAGACAACGTTTGGCGCACAGCTGAAGAAAAGAAGGAGCCAGAAAAGGCTCCCGAGATGGCCGATGATAATGACTGGAGCTGGGATGCTTCGACCAAGAAGAAAGACAAAATGAAGAAAGGCGTACTGGAGACAGTTGCTCCCGAGGAGTCTCCCGCCCCTGAACCTCCCGCACCCGAGCCCGCCCCCGCGGAAGACGATTGGGGAATCGCTTGGGGATCAGTCGGCAAGAAGGACAAAAAGTCCAAAAAGGGAGCGGTTGTTGAAGAGCCTGCGCCTGTTGTTGAAGAACCACCCCCTGAATCGCAACCAGAGCCTGCACCAGAACAAAAGGCACCCGATGATGCTTGGGGAGGCTGGGATGTTCCCAAGAAAGAGAAGAAGAAGAAGAAGGGAAAGGTCGTTGAGCCTGAGCCTGAGCCTGAGCCCGAACCTATTCCTGAGCCTGAGCCTGTAGCTGAACCCGAGCCCGGGCCTGTGGCTGAACCCGAACCTGAGCCGGAGCCGGAGCCTGAACCTGAGAGGAAAGCCCCTGGATTACCCGATGATCCACTTTACGACAATTGGATAAATTTGTCGTCAAAGGAGCGGAAAAAGCGCGAGAAAGCATTAAAAAAGAAAGGCCTTCCGATACCTGGAAAGGACATCGAGATTCCACCAGCAGAAGCAGAACCTGCGCTAGAAGCGGCTCCTGAACCTCCTGTGGAACCTGAGCCCGAGCCTCCTGAGCCCGAGCCGGTCATTGAACCACAACCAGAGCCTGAGCCGGTTCCCAAGCCAGTGCAGGAAGAACCTGTAGTCGAGGATAGCTGGGGCATCTGGACCTCAAAGGACAAGAAAAAGTCCAAGAAGAGCAAGATTGCCGATGACCCGCCGCCCCCTGCCCCAACCCCTCCCTCACTAGGACTGGATCCCGACCCCCCGGTTCCGGAAGAGGTGGCGGAGGATCTCCTGTGCGATAATGGAACCAAGCCTTCTAAAGGAACCAAAAAGGGATCCTTGGGTGTGGATGAACCTCCCGCCAAGGCAGCAAGGGGATTTTGGGCGACGCTCGGTGCAGCCACAATGGGCTCCAGACCAAAGGCTACAGGGAAGAAATCAGAGGAGAAGCCAAAGCTCATTGAACCAGCAATGGAATCTGAGCCCGAACCAGAACCACCCGTACCTGCCCCGGAGCCTCCTGCTGATCTTCTTGGGGACATTGGGCATGCACCTGTGCCTGAAGCGCCTGAGCCGCCCGTCCTTGACGAGCCAGCTGCGCCAGCCGCGCCGCCACCAAAAAGCACCTCCAAGACCAAGTCATCCGCCAAGCTCTCAGTTGCAGAGCGCATCAAAGCCCTCGAGCAAGCCAAAAAAGAGAGGTTGAAGGAGAAAGCGAAAGCTAAAGAGACCGTACCACCACCGGAACCCCCTCAGGAAGAGCCTGCCGTAGAGGTCCCGCTTGAGCCTGTCGAAGCACCCAAGATCTCTCGGGAGTCTGTGCCGGGAAGCTTCCCAGACGCCTTTGAGGACGACTTCCAGGAACCTCCACCTCCTGCTCCCGAACCAGAGCCGGAGCCATCGGTTGATCCACCGCGTGAGCCTGAGCCTGAGCCTGAGCCTGCTCCGGCTCCGGCTCCTTTGTCCAAAAAAGCCGAGAAGAAGAAAAAGAAGAAAGGTAAGCTCGTGGAACCTGAGCCTGAGCCGGCACCAGTGCCTGAGCCAGAACCAGAGCCGGCACCTGTGCAGCCTGAGCCAGAGCCAGAACCAGAACCTGCGCCTGATCCTGAGCCGGCACCTGCACCTGTACAGCTCTCGAAAACTGAGAAAAAGAAGAAAAAGAAGGCCAAGGCTGTCGAAACAGAACCCGTACCACCGGAACCTCAGCCAGAGCCAGAGCGGGCGCTTGAGGCCGAGGCCGAACCGGAGCCTGAGCCTGTAGAGCCACCTGCCCAGGAGCCAAATGTCACCAAGAAAATCAAGAAAAGCCCCAAGTCCAGAAAGGCTGAACCGACCATGGAGGTACCACTAGCTGGAGATGTACCTGCTGAAGCGCCTGGTGCAGATGCTGGTGGTCCGCCTACTCCTCCACCTGAGCCCGCGGCACCAGGCAGATCAGCGAAGAAAGAGCGCGCTCGAGTTGAGCGAACTCCAGGTGTCGCTTCGTGGGCCTTCTGGGGTGCTACCCCTACTCCTAGGAAATCAGCCCATAGAGAGGTCAGGTCTAGCCGAAGGGAACCTTCACCCGGCGGAGTCGTACGGTCAAAGTCCACCAGACATTCAAGGCGACAAGAAGTGCCTCATGAGGCGGAACAGACGTCTGGTTCTGACAGAGACAAACGACGAGGAAGCAAAGAGGATCGGGCGACAACCTTCTCTAACTTCATCCTTGGCGGCCCTCCTGCGCCAACCAGAACGAAGTCATCACGTAGGCATGGAGTGTCCGCGTCTAAGCAGGCATCTAGGCGGCCGTCCATCGACATGGAGGAGGCCGCAATGCCAACCCCTCCACCAGACGAGAGATTTAAAGTGTCGGACAAAGCAGCGAGGATGATGGGAGTTAGTGCATCGAGGCACAAGGAAAGACCGCGTGGGTCGCGGAGAAGATCTAGTAAGTTAACAGTCCCCCAAGTATTTCAGGAGGTGCCTAACATGACCTTCAGGCGTACGTGATCCATACGCTATTGATGACGATATTGTCGTCGTCGACCGGGATGAGGTGGACGGCCATTCACCGAAGGAAGACTCGAGAGAATCCCGGGGTTCCAGGAAAAGATCCAGTACAAAGGTGAGTTATCGTCCTGAACTATGTATTCTATTGCACCGTTCAATAATCTAATATCCACGTCACACCAGTCGCGGTCCAGAGCGTATGAAGATGACGCGGTCATGGTCGAGCCAGATCAAAACCACCAAGGCCCAGATGTAATGTCGGGTCCGGATGATCTGGCACCTGTGGAAGCACCGAGGGAACGACGCGTAAAGCGCTCTAATACCTTGCCGAAGAAACAAGAGACTGGCGGTTTCATGGGTCTCATCGGCTCGCTGCGAAGGAACACACGCCCCGAAATGCCAGACCGTCGGAAATCCCGCTCTTACCGTGATGAAGATTTCAGGTACATGACGGAACCAGAGCGAGACGAGGCTCGACGCTTGAGGCGAGAAGAAAGGAGACGCCGCTCCATGAAACCTGATGTCGACGACGAAGGCTTCGTTACCGACGGCGGGCCTGTCAGAGGCATACCAGATGCCGAAGCGGAAGAAGCTGAAGCTAGGAGAGCGGCACGCCGATCACACCGCACATCACGCCATGCGCCTTCTGATCAATTTCGGGAGGAAGAGGCTAAGGAAGCCGAAGAAAGACGCGCCAGGCGGAGAGAGAGAGAACAAGCTCGCGAGCGGGAGATGTACGAGAGGCAAATCCGAGAAGATGAAGAGAGAGAAGCAAGACGTCGAGAGGAAAGGCGCGCCCGCCGGGCGGCTCGCGAAGCACAGCGTGCCAAGGAGGAACAAGAGGCCAGGGAGGCAGAAGCTCGCGCAGAAGCTAAAGCTGCAGAACGACGGGAACGGAGAAGACAGCGGGAGGCAGAGATGCTCGAAAACCCAGCATACAATTCAGGGTCCAGACGGCGCCCTCCACGTGCTTCTGAGAGAGCACCGGAAGATTACTATCTTGATCACCGCCATGACGTGGAACAAAGACCTCGACGGTCTCACCGATCCGTCGACGAAGGCGAGAAATCGAGACGGCGAACGTCGAGAGCCCCAGAGCCGGTCAGACCTCCGCCTATGATGTCTGGGGCTCGGAGGGATAAGACCACGTCCTGGGTCGATTCGCAGGCGGTTGATCCTCCCGAGCCCCCTCCAATCATGCCAACGGTGCTCGATGTGCCACTTCCTCCGGGTGACCAAAACGCACACTCCATATCGTCGGACGAGGAGGCGCGACGTGCTTTGCGCCGCCGGGCTCGCCGACGGGCCAGATACCCGGGCCTCGGCGATGAAGAGATCGAAGAGCTGCGCGCGCGGAAGCGTGAAGCCCGACGATCTGACCGTGCGAAAAGCAGCTCTGGCAGTGGAGATTATGAGAGGGACCGTGGAATGAGGTCGTACGACGGCCGGTTTCCTGCCGTGCCGCCTCCTACCTCTGGCGCAAAGATGTCCAGTTGGTTCAAGAAACTGACCAATCTATGATTTCTTGCTAAGATTGCTACATTATCGACAGTGAAGGCTGAAACGATTTCACCTTAATGATTGAAATGACGGAATGAATATGGACGATAAAATGATCATTGACGACGATATACCTCGAAAGGCATGATACAATCTTACTATTATGGAATTCAATATATCACCGACCTTGAATAGTTGGTGTGTATGATTAGCAATGCAATTCATTCTTTACTCTGCTCCCTCTTTGCCAGTCTGTTGATTGGATCCATGCTATGGTGCAGGACGAGCTCTCTAGTCTATGAACTAGCTTAGGATTATCTATTCTATGAACCAGCTTAGGATGCGCTAGCGATAATCTAGCGCTACAGAGATGCTAGAAAGTTAAGCAAATCGACTGAAACGAAACCAATGATGCCCAGAGTCGCGCTGTCAGTGCCACATACTGACTAGATGGCAGCCTCCTCTTTCGATCCATCTACTTCAACCCGTGTGTTCAACCCATCTTTCTCCCGCCGTCTGTTCTCTAGATAGAACCTTCCCGCCTCATACATGCTCAGATACATACTGAGCGAGACAGCCGTCCACCCAGCGCGGATTGCACCGCCCTTGAAGAGACCTCTGATCCCTTCATTGCGATAGATCTCCTTCCCCACTTTGAGCGTTCCCCGGCCAGCCGTCTTCTTCTTCGCGCTTCCACCCCCACCACCACTGTTATTCTCACTGGCCGAAAGCATCATCCTCGTCTTGATCACATCAATCGGTGTCGTCACGACCGACGCGATCATCCCGGACATGGAGGCCGACATCCCCGTCAGGGCCGCCCTCTCCACCAGCGGATCCCACTCCCGCGTCTGTATCCCACCATCCTCCTTCCGCCGCTTCCTCCACTCCACGAGATGCGACCTGAAAAACTCAAACATGGGGAAATTCAGCCCCGTAAAGGGCAGATTGCGCCCCACCAGCGCCGTGTACCCGCTCCAGAGCTTCCAGGGCCGATGCTTGAACCGAGCGATAACCTGTGACATGGCGCTCTTCGCGTCCTGCCCCCCCTTTCCGGTGTTCACGTTGGTGACCTGCGCGTTCTGCTTTAGGACTTCGGCGGGCGTCATCATGAGGCAGGCGACCATTTCCGCGGTGGAGGAGGAGATGGCGTGGATGATGGGTTGCGGGAGGGAGTGTGTGAATGGGAGGGGGTTGTTGTCTGGATTGTGGTGGTGCGTTGACGCGTTCGTCAGGGTGTACTTGACTGCTTCGTAGGTGGTGAAGAAGGCTCCTGCTGTTTCATTTGTTGGGGTTCGTTCACGCCCAGATACATAGAGGAACAGGAGAAACGTACAGCCTGGTATTGTGGACAGCACCACGCTCCAAACTCCCTGGTACAAACCTCCGTAGAGGGCGCCCCGGCGAATTGCCCCTGTCGCTGCATCCTTGTAGAGTCGGTTGTAGTCGGGCGATTGGACTCGGGTTTTGAGGGTGTCGAAGGGGTAGACGATCAAGTCTACGGTCACTGCAGCAAATGCTCCGGCCTGTGACTCTAGCTTAGCATCCGAATACGCAAGATAGGTGTCAAATTTGAAACGAGTATCTTGCTCGAGTATACTAGTATATGGAGAAGACTCACAATCCAGATGTCGAGATTACTGTTGTACATAGAGAACGATGTAACAAAAAGGCTCTAGGTCTCTATTATAATTCTATGGAATGCAAGATGAAGAAAAATGGAAATATCCAAGACCAGAAATGCATGGCTGAGTGAGCTCATTGTAGCTTGTCGCATTGTCTATCTACCTTATCTAATCGGGTTATCGATTGCAACGATGCATTATGAGGTCATGATTGCTCACGTGCGAAGCACTACCCTAACAAGGTTAGGGTATGGTACCTGTGCCTGTGCCTGGCCCTTCCAAGTGCCTGTCGATCTCAAGGAGACAGCGCTTAGAGAAAGTTCCCAAAACAGTAGGCTGTACGTCAACTCAGAAAGAATGTACTCTCAGGTCATACCCGTAACTCTATTCGTCAAATGGAATAAGCAAACAGGAGACATATTAACAGTGGAATATAAGAATTTTTCCTGCCTACGCCATAAGGTCATGCAAGTCCCAGAATCCCCATAGATTGAGATAAATCATCACGAGCCCGGCCACACGCTTATTTGGCGGTCTCACCGGGCAACAGGTTGCCCTTCACAGCAAACATCTTTCCAGTCGTGGACGAAACAAAGCTGTCAATCTGGCGCGCGTACTGATCCACCTGCCGGCTGTTCAGCATGCTCTCGAGGCGGCTAGGCTCCTGGGGCAGCTTGAACAGGCGCTGCCACTCATCCTCGGGCAGAAGAGGCTGCTTGAGCGCCGCACGAGTGGCGTTCTCCTGCTTGCGCTTCTGCTGCCAAGCGCTGATTCTCTGCTGCTCGCGCGCGAGCGAGCGCTGGTAGTACTGGAAGTTGTTGGTCTCAGTGTGGTGAGTCTCAATGCTGTCCAGGAGCAGGTCGCAGTTCTTCTCCAGGAAGGGGTCGATGCTAAGGGTAAGGTTGTCGTAGTTGGGAGCGAGAATAGACGACTTGACGAAGGGGCCGGATTCCAGGGCGGCCAGCGATGGGGGAAGATCCGTAGGAGCCCGAATGTTGGGAGTCTGAAGCTGGTGGATGAAGGAGGTGATCAGGTGAGAGTTGTGAATCTCCACGGGAAGTTCAACAAAGATATCCTGGTATCTAAGGCCGGACTTTTGCAACCTATCGTTCAGTTAGCATCGCAGTGTTCTCGTTCTCTTCAAGCGTCGTGCTAAAGATGGTAAATCGTAGACATACTCCTCTGAGGTGAACTTGTTCTCCTTAAAAACCGTCATGAATTTGGGAGACAGGCGGAACGCTCTGAGGCTCAGGCTTCCCTGAGAGGTACGGCTGACGTCGTGCACGAGGGCTACTGTCCTCTCGTTCATTTCCTTCTGGTAAAAGAACTGGTTCTCGATCACGTTCATGTTGACAAAATTGCCCATGTTGGCGCTCGTATACCAGCCGACGTTGTTGGCGTCCACGTTAACCTCTCGAAGCATACGGATCATCTCCGCCTGGTAGACGGTATTGGCTTTAGCGCGAGGAGCGGCGGCAGCAGGGTTGGCAGCAGTATTGTCAAAGTGCGACTCGGCAGGCACCTCGACGACGGGGAACGGGAAGGTGTTTGTGATTTCTAGAGTTCCACCAACATCCATGCCAACGATCGAACCGGTCGCTGTCGTCGGGAAAGTTTGAGAGCAGTGCTTCATAATCTTCATGACCACCTGTAGACGCTTCGCATGAGTATAAATTCTTCATTGACCAGCTTGGATAAAGTGGGGTGGGATTTTTCCTGGGGAAGATGATCATACCAAGGCCTCGACCTTGACGGCCGTGAGGGGGATTTCGTTCCTATTTAAATCGATTAGTCAAAGGCGCTTGGTATCATTTCCGCGATTTCAGCACTTACTCCGCCATGTTGGATATAGCAGGCCGGGGAATGCTTTTGACAGCGACGATGGTTGATAGACGGCGTTGGTTTGTGTGGATGAATTGAACAATTTCCCACCGCCTAAGGCCAGAACAGGTTTAGCGTGCCAAGACCGCTTGGGAATAGAGACAAAACAACATCACTCTGCGAGTCCTTCCTCTTTGTACTCGGGCATCTCAAATTTGGCTGGATTTATGACTGATTTCTTCATCGCATCATTAATGACAGAGCTCGTCAGCATTTAGCGTGCACAATCATGATAGTCTGAATTTAGAAGTATTGAGCGGCTGCACCATTAGAGACCATGGTCACTAGTAGTCGGCAGTGGCTATGCCACCTCGGCCCCTCTTGATCGATAACTCATTTTCGGTCTACTTGACAATCGAGTTACTTGTACAGTGCATCGAGAACTTGCTCTTGGGCTCAAATATAACGTTGTAATGCCTGCAGAAACGCTTCAGTATGGAGATCACAAGCTCCAAACGGTGACAATCTCCACCGTATCAGACAACCTCAATGCAGGCTATTGGGTGATGTATACAACCCAGAACCCCCAGATCTCTAGGAAATCTTGATTAACAATACATGAACAAGACTGATCCACGGCGGAGCCTGGAGAGACCCGACTCAAACAGCCATCTCGTACCTCTCCCCGGCCGAGTCCATCCTCACCACATCCCCAACATACAACTCCACGACCCTTCCGCACATCGCGGCCTTCGCATCGATCGAGTACCGATTGAGTGCCCATCCGGGTTACCCACAGAGTCCAGATCACACCGATCCTATTGAATACCGCAATGCCAAACATCCAGACCATATCCGCGACGTGCAAGCAGCTCTGGGTCTTCTGCAGCGCAAGTTTGGGTTCGGGACCAAGTATATCCTCGTCGGACACAGCGCTGGTGCAACTTTGGCCTTTCAATCGGTGATGGGGGCTTTCCAGGACAGCGCTGCCGCTGTCGTTTCTACACCAGCCGCGATACTGGGGATGGCGGGTATTTATGATTTGCGACTACTGCGTGATACCCATCGGCATATTTCTGCGTATCAAGAGTTCATTGAAGGGGCCTTCGGTTCTGACGAAGCGGTGTGGGATGCCGCCTCCCCAGCCTCTGTGAAAGGCTCTGAGGGAGTTGAGAAAGGATGGACATCTGGGCGACTGGCTGTGCTGTCGCACTCGCCCCAAGATGGGCTTGTGGATGCTGCCCAGCAGCAGGCGATGCAAGCTGCACTAAGTCGCTGGGAGGACAGTACACCGCAAGGTAGTGGCCAGAGACGAGTTGAAATACTCTCTGTCAAAGGCGACCATGATGACGCCTGGATGAAGGGAGACGAGCTGGCAAGGGCCATTGCTCATACGTTAGCGGAGCTACAGAAAAAGTAGCGCTGCCTCAATAGTGCTATATTATGCTTTAGTTTGAGGCTATACTGACTTGTCCTACGCTACGATTCTACAAGATAGAGGAAATGGTCAAAGAAGCGTCTTCTGACTATCACGAGTCATTTCATGAATTACAGAACTCCTTGCTTCATCACGATTAACGTCCGGAGGGATGTCCTAGATCAAGGCAGGATTTGAAAGTAGTACACATTAGAAGGGAAAAGGGCAAAGCCGTTTTCAAAACTCGCCAACGCCCACCCAGTGTTCATCATCATGATTGTCAACTACATGCAAATGAAAATGAAAACTCCGTAATACGCCTGGTATTCGGTTAAAGCCGGCTGGTGAGAAAGTGTCAGAAAGATGAAAAGGACCGTTCGCACTCGGCGCCGATTGCGACGGTCGACAAGCGCAACGCGAGATGTGCAGAGCTCTTTTGGAGAGACGCTGAACGGCGATTTAGTTGCCCAGGTCCATACGAACCGAGGCAGCGTCACCCAAAAGCTTCTCTTCCTTGACTTCGGAGGCCTGGTCTTCAACCTCAGAGTCTTCCTCATCGTCATCCTCCACCTCGCTGTCTTCGACGTATTTCACCTCCACGCCGGCTTCCTTAAGACGGCTTCTCATCTGCTCACGATAGCGATCCTGCCAGCGGGCCAGAGCGGCACTGGCATGCACGCGGAAACCGTAGATGCGAGGCTCATAGCGGCGGGTGCTCTTGGGAGGAACCAGATTGGGGAACACCTGAAAGAAGATACTATGGAAAGAAGAACCAAAGTAGGCGCCGTCAATAGAGGAGTGACGAGAAGACTTAGGATTGTAGATATCCTCGCACTTGGCGCAGTAGAGTCTGACAGTGCTCTGGTTGGCAATATCGTGCAAGCCCATCGGGAGGAGGTGCTGACCCTCGCACAAAACGCGGGGGCATTTGCCGAAGTCGCCATTTTTGTACTTTTCAGCCTAAGCGAAGAAAGAAGGGGTCAGCTTTTGATCCTAAAGCCAGACGTGGTGCAGTGGTGACAATATAGCACATACCATTTTGCCAAGGCCACGAGTAGTGACAATGTATCTTGCGTGAACGAGGCCGTAGAGATGACGGGCGGACTTCTCGATTTGCTCGCGTAGATCATCATCCGCATCGAGATCAAAGACGTCGGTCACAAGGTCCAGCGCATACTGGTAGTAAGGGACTTCAGTGTTGAGGCCGGTAAGATTGAAGCGATCGGTCAAGTATTCCTCGTCGATCTCGCAGAAATACTCGTTTCCGCGGGAGGAGATGAACTGCGTGGTATTCTGTGAGCAAGGCATCGCAGATGGAGGATTATTGCGTCCCCAGAAACAGAGATTGTAAAATCTTTCATTGGATTCATTGCCCCGAGCGTGAGCGAAAAGATCCTCACTAGTCGAAGACTCGGTCATCGTGAAAGGGTGTGGGCTAGGATGTAGTGGAGGAGTAGTGGATGCGTGGTAGGATGATGCAGGTGTGCATGAGGTGGAATTGAGCTCCAGCAAGCTCTTTAGGAGAGGCCTCAATGTTTTCACCAGCCGCAATTGCATCGTGAGGGCAGCCACGACCCATCTCCTGAGATGAACATCCAAGCCGCATCGCCCCTCCAACAGTACTTAGGCTCAAAGAAACAGATTCAAACTTACCCAATCTCTCCAGTAGCTAGTGTAATCACTATCGGTCTCACTGTTAAAGTCCTCCATCATGTTTACTGTTCAAGTCGACGACGAAATGAGGGGAAGGAAGCGGTGTTGGTTTGCTCTGCCTGTAGCAGTTACTGAGAGAAGGCTGGATTCGGCAGCCCCAAACCAACAGAGCTCTCAGAACCGTACAGCTATGGAAGATTCTCCTCAGAGCATAGAAAAGCCAGTCCTCAAAAGGTGGACAGCGATCAAAGGGTTAGGAACAGAGAATATGAGATAATGTCAGATAGTATTCGCAGTGTGTGTCTCTTCTCCGTTCTGTTCGACTGTTATCAGTGGATCACACACTCTTCTGGTTAGCGCGGGGTTGGCGGTGAACATTTTGCCTAACAGGCATCACCGCCTTTATCATTTCTCTTTCTAGCGGTTATGGGTGTGGTCTCTGGTTATACTTTGTTGTATTCTTTGCATTACGCCTTGGAGAACCTGGGGAGAGAAGTTGCATATCTTTATGCACGCAATACTCTGAGATCATGGTCATCGAACTGAAAGTGCCATATACGTAAAGCTTCTGCTGAGAAGAACACGTAACAAGAGAGTATCCAATGATTCCAATCAAACTATCCAGTGATCCTATGGCCTCGTCTAGAACGAGGGGTTGGCGCTCCTGAGAAGCTGTTCGAAATAGGTCTTTTCTACACGTTAGTACAGCACAAAAATTGGGTGGAGTTGCCTTGAAACCAGGTGCCGGCTTCAGGGGCTGGTCTGAGAGCGTCCTCGAGTCCACAGTGCGCATCGTAGCGTTTAGCAGACGTGTCCGAAGTACCATCACTCTCACCACCGGGCTTAACCCAGACGAAAGCATCCACCAACTCGTCTCCTGTGTCAGTGGTAGGCCGGGCACCGAAGCCAGTGCCAATCACATTGCACCAGTCACCCCAGGCAAGCTGTCCAGTGGGCTGCTTTCCGTTGCGGCCTATGAAGGAATCTCGTTAGACGATGTGCCAGGTGGGTAGCATCGTAGGACTTACCGGTATCGACTATGAAATGAGCGTCGAATCCAGCGCTGGCCAGCTGTGGGGCGAAGTTGTTGATATGGCTCTTCTCGTCGCAGACAGCATTCCCTTGGGTGTAAGAGGGACACGCCATGGATCGAGCACGAAGGGTATTCATCGGTAACGGAGCGGACTCACCAATGACGAGGATAATCTGGGTATCAGGATAGCTGTTGATGTGCTCGCGGATGGAATCGATGTAGGCCTTGTACTTCTCAACGCCACCATCTGCAATGACTAAATCTCCATTGCTGGCCAAGGCAGTGCAGTCACGGTCCGGAAGGTTGTAGACAACGAAAATCCCAGCAATTGGAGGGCTTGCTCCTGCATCGTTCAGGGCTTTGATGTCCTTGAGGTATTCACCCATTTTCGGGACTTTGGCGGCGGTGTCCCTGAACGACTATTAGGAACGGAATCCGAGGAGTGTACAATGCAACGGTATAAGCTTACATCCAAGCAAAAGAGGGTACTTTCGCAACGGCGCTTGCTTTAGAGAGCCTGTCAAGGAGGGAATGGCAAGATTCTCAACCTCGGACGCATAGTAAGGATTCGCAAAGAGCTGATGTCCTTCAAAGGGATTACCGCGTGCTGCTGCCGTGGTCGCAGGGGGAGCCGTAGTGGGAGCCGGAGAGGTGGGAGAGCCAGTTGCTTGAGGCAAAGCTCTCACTGCAGAGAACAGGAAGGGTGAAAGAGCAAAAAGGACCGCATGTTGGCGGCTTGAATTCCGGAAGAAACTTTGAATGTTCAGCTGAGACGCCCGTGTGTTGCGTGGAAAGTGGAATGCAAGGTCTGCTGTACAATGGCTGACTCTCATGTTGAGGTTCTTCAAGACCATTTTATACTTCTCCTGTCTTCCTCTTCATAGTTCATATCCCATGCATCCAGCACCCCAGCTGCCCCGAAGAGACAAGGAGTTAGTTAAGATATCCTGCTAGAACTGAGACGCGTAGAGAGCCGGACCAAGTGGGTGAGGATTGAAGAAAGACATCAGAAGGACTCTTCCCGACTACTCTTGGCATATTTTGGCCAGTATCGTGAAAGGATGCTGGCCCTGTAGGGGCACGATACGGACTCTCCGTCACTGAAAGGGCTCATCATTTGATGATCGTTGTATCTTCGGCACATAGTGTGTTACTGCATGCTCCTCAACTTTCTGGCGCCACCTGCTATACCCTCAATGTGCTGAAGAGCCTGATGATATTTAGCGGAACTGAAAATGAGACTATCCTGCCGCTTGCTGATATGCCCAGCGGCCTGGGGAGCATGTCCCCTCCTGTGTCCAGACACATTCGCAAGTCTTGGAAGGGCCATTGAAGCAACCGAGTACCAATTGGGGATCGTTCAAGGAAAAAATTACCGGCTCAAATCAGATGATCGTCGGGAAATTTTGAAGGAGGAGCACGGCGTGAGGAAAAGGCAGGAAATTGCGGGGGTGGAAGTTTGTCGAAACACTGTCTGTCTCATCTATGGTGATAATTTGCTCCTTCTGGAAGCGAATACTTCAACCCTCCGTCTCGCTATGAGAAAGGAAAGGAGATATATTTCGACTTTGTACACGGAGCACTGAATTGCCGATCCTTCTGGGTATTACCCTTCACTTCCCGCACTGTTTGAGCCCATGATCCATGCCCATGAGAGATAGATGAAGCTATCATACTGCGCTGCCAAGATGCGGAGTTTGAGTCCAATCCAAATCCGTTCAGGACATGATATTCTGATGGTTTGCGGCCCGAAACCCCGTGGGAAAGCGGGCATCTTTGAATATATCAGCATTGTTTCTTCGTTGAGAGCGAGATCTGCGTAATTGGCGTACTCGTTGATTCCGCAATTGTCAGGTCAAAACACGGAATGTCAATATAGCGGATTCCTTCTGTAAACTCTGGTATAGTCAGGAGCATTTGTTGCCTTAGCACCTAGATTGGCTGGCGTAATTAGGCTTTCAGAATAGGCAGACGGCAAGGTTAATATATAATATGCCTCCGTCAATATATAATTGCAATGACTCCTGCAGCCAGCAAGCAATACCTTCATGTATGGTCGCAGAATTAGCTGTTCCACTCAATGTATATTCTGCAAACTACGAAGTACTCGCAGGATATTGATTTTTAATTAGATTCAGATATGTTATTGGTGAGCTAAAAAGAAAAAATGACTGTCAAAGTCTGTGTAGATGATAAAACAACAAGAAAAGAAGAAAAAAGAAAAGAAAAAAAAAATCACTTAACGAAAGTGCTCGGCACGATCACATTCAGCCAGGAACCTCTGAATGCCTTCGACTCCTTCGTACTCTGACGCGGTCTCATGGAAACCGGCGCTGGAAACCTCAGGAAAGAAGGCACGATCGCCAAGTTCGCTCACGTTGATGCTGGAATATCCTGAAGAGGATGATACCCAAGGATTCTTGTCGGCAAAGATTGGAGAGTCTTCGAAACTAAGCCCATTGCTCGACTTTTGAGGATTCTCGGGCGAGTAACATGTCCCATCCTCGGAGGTCATCATTGCCTGCCAATCGACCTCATCAGGAGATTGTCCCTCGGACGGTTCTTGTCGAAAAAAGAACTCAGCCACATCCGAAGAAGCCGATACGCTAGGAGCAAATGGGAAGAGGAGAGCGAGATCAGCTCCTGTTCGGAGGTTGAAATCCTCATCCTGGCTAATCCGTCCTCGCTGGACACCGACTTCATCGCACAGTCGCTCAACCATCTCAGCATCGCACCCTGGAAATCGCACTCGGATGGTGGATCTGTCATGTAAAGAGATAGGTAGATCACCCAGTGAGGATAAGCGCTTGAGGTCATTAAGTACGGCAGCCAAATCTTTCAGAGCACGTGCGAAGTCGGCAGAAAGGAAGGACAAGGTGTCCGAATTCAACGTTTCCACGTGGTGAACACCGGCAGAGGCAGCCTTTTTCTGAAGTCCAAAGGCTGTAATGGTGGGAGAAATCTGGAAGTCGATGAATGAACCGGAAGCCATGCGAGGGATCGCCGCCATTTTACGCTCAGCTTGATCTTGAAGCGCGCTCACAGACTTGTACCTCTTCTTTCCCGTAATAGGGTCGATGCCGTCAAATCTGGCTTTCTGGCCCGAGAGGAAGAAGGCTCGCACACCCATTGACACATTGTTGATCACCTGCGCAGGAGAGGCCGGACCATGCGAAAAATAACGGGCTCCACCAATACGACCGGCACCAATGGTATAGCCTCCAGCCGTACGGCCAAGAGTGCCGCCGGTCAAGTTGGGGCGGAGAGTCGACGCAAACGGGGCACGACTAGTCAAGCGACCGACATTGGCTGCAACACGGGACTGACGATACGCTGCGTGATCCCCCTGCAGGCCATTCTTAAGAGAGGAAACGAAGGAATTTGCTGCACGAGTAGAGAAATAGCGATTACTGCGGGATTGACGGATAGCGGCAGCTCGGCTGATGGGCTGGCGGGTAGGAATACGTGCATAAGCTGGTTGAAGCCGAAGCGAGACTTGCTGAGCTGGCTCTGGAAACTTGGCCTTGAGCGTCTTCAGGGCCTTCTCATAAGCAAACCTGGGGAAAGTCAGATTATTGAAGTATACCACTATCAAGCAACGAGAACTCACCTTGCTGCTCTCCAGAATTTCGGGAGCAACAGGTGCCCACTGGAAGGCGGCATCCTGACGATGATAGAAAGGTGCTTCTAAAGAAGAATGGAGGATGAAAATACCATTCTCTTGATGAATTGATGATGGGAGAATGGATGATGGACGACGGTGCCTGGGAACTGATGACTCCGCACGCGGTGGCGGTGCACCTGATCTGCTGACGCCACGTGCTTATTGGTTAGAGGGATCTTGCCACTGTCATCTAAAGTAATTATTTTCGAGGTAGACCTCTCTACTATTTGAGGCATATAACAGTGTCGGGTAAATACAAGTGTTAAGAAATTCCTTGGGGCGTGGTTATCACAATATAACTGGATTATGACCTCATTTCTGGGCTCGAAGTCGATCTGTTCCATTTAGTGATAAGGATTATCCGGCTGTCAATATTAGTGAGGAAGAGCGTTGAAGATTCAGGTCAAACTATAATTAAAAGAGGTCCACTGATAGATTGGCTGGTCATCTCTCTAATTTACTTTAATATTTGAGCGGATACACAAAGCAATTCGATCTATCAATTGGATATCTAGACATGTCAGGCACGCAGCGACATTTCACATGATATGCGCATCATCAGTTAAGAAGCATTTACTCGTCATCACCAAAGAACACCTTGACAGGCAGCCAGCTGTCGCCACAGACCTTGAAGCGGTCCTTGAGGTTATCCAATTGATTTACCTCGTCGGCTGTCAGATCCCAACCATCAAGCTCAAAGTTGGTTTCAATGCGCTCCTTGTTGACAGACTTTGGGATTACACTCCATCCCTTCTGTAGACCCCACTGAAGCAGAACCTGCTGAGGGGTCTTACCCTTCTTTTCTGCGATTTGTAAGAGAGTCTGATCCTTGTACAAAGGAGAATTTGTTGAGCCAAGGCAAGAGTAGCCGGTAGAATGAATACCCTTGGAAGTGTTGTAGGCCACGAGCTTAGGCGAGGGGTTGTTCGGGTGCAGTTCAATCTGATTGACTGCGGGGACAATCTTGGTGCTTGGATCATTGAGAAGCTTCTCAAGGTTTTTGATACCAAAGTTAGAAACACCAATGTTGCGGACCTTGCCAGTGGCAGGCAGTTTCTGCATCTCTTGCCTATGGTACTTGTTATTATAACATCATTCCATATTGAAAAATTCCGGAAGCTTACCATGTCTTGATGAAGTCCCAGTCGGGAAGATGCTTCGACGTATCGTTAGGATCGGTCGAGCATGGCCAGTGCACAAGGTACAAATCGACGTAATCCACACCAAGGCTCTTGAGAGACGAGTCAATTCCGTCCTGCACACGGTGGTGCCATGTGTTATCAAGCTTGGTGGTGATCCAGATCTCTTCGCGAGGAATACCCGAGTCCCTAATGCCTTGGCCTACTTCAGCTTCGTTACCGTAGGCGAGGGCACTACGATGGGTCAGTCCGCGCAGAACTTCTATAGCATGATGAACAGAGGCGTGTTCAACTCACGTGTCAATATGGCGATAACCCTTCAACAGAGCAATTTTGACGGCCTCTCTGACTTCGTTGGGCTTAGATTGCCAGGTACCGAGACCGATTGCGGGGATCTTGTCACCCGTGTTCAAGGTGTAGGTCTTCCTACAGGTTGGAAATTGTTAGCGAAGCTATTCTCTTGCACATCACCATCTCACGATCACGTACTTCGTATGTTCGAGAGTCGACATTTTGCACGAATGAACAAACAATGTACTAGCTGATGTTCTGGACTGGAATGCACCTGCAGCAAGGAACGATAGTCTCGGGAGAGAACGTGGAAGACAAGGGGTGCAAGAGGGATTTATAAGCTGCCTTGAGCTCCGAGCCGCGAGGAACAACATAGTTAGGCAGGTCCAACCAGTAGGCTATGACGCTATACGAGCTACGATGGGCGGAGTTGCCCCTCTCAAAGAGTGGGGGAGCATCCGAAATATGTCTGGCCAGCATAGGGAGCAATTATCCGAGCGCTATGCCTCTTGATCCAGTCATTCTTCGTTTGAGCAAATAGCAGAACCTATATCGAAAAACGAAAAGGTTTGAGGATCCCTTGTAAAGCATTGATTGCATCTATCGATTCAATCGTTAGTAAGCGAGAAAGAGGCCAGGAATGTCAGATAAGCATTTCATGCTGTAAACCACGTGCACTATTTGGAGTACGTACATCTAGCTTATCTGGGTCCCTAGATGGAACCTCGCAATGTTGCATTGGTAAAAGTCTGGTGAGTGGGCCTGCATCCACATGCATACTTAATGCCTAAAATGGACTTGATTAGGAGAGTAGTAGAAGGCGGTGACGGCAACTACAGCCATTCACCGCCTCGATTTTTGCCAGTCTATCCAGAACATTACCCCAACGAAAGCTCAAGATTCTCTCTGCTCCATCAGCGCCGAACGACGCAAATCTGCTAAACTCGAATATTTCTTAATAAAGTATCGTTACTGATTGCCGAAGACAATTGATTACTACGTATTTGGTGTCTCATCTGCATCATACTCCCGGAGTAGCCTGCATCTACAGACACAGAGCCCCCCATCTCAAGGGGAAGAGTCGAGATGTCGTCTGGTTTCGTGGCTGCTGGAACCGATCAGGAGCCAGTAGAGCGTGATGATGAATGGCGTCGTGCACAGCAGGAATTGGAGGAGGAGCGGAGACGCAAGGCGGAGCTAGGCAGACAGGAGGGCGGGAAAAGTCTGTATGAGGTCTTGCAGCAGAACAAGAGTAAGTTACCACACCGCGCAAAGGCAGCGTGCGGTGCTCTTTTGGATAGATCTCATTTGGACTGACATGTTAGGATAACTTGTTCTGCTGCGTAGTGGCCAAGCAGGAAGCTTTTGAAGAGAAGATAAAACTTAAGAACCAGTTTCGGTCTCTGGACGAGGACGAAGTGGAGTTCCTCGACTCCATCATGGAGTCGACGCGTGCTCAAGAAGCGGCCGTGAAGAAAGAGACCGCGGAGCAGCTTGAACTATTCCGTCGACAGCGAGAAGAAGCAGAGAAAGCTCTGCTAGAAAATTCATCAGTAGATGTTCAGCCGTCCAACGAAGGAGAGGACTGGAAGATTCCTGCACGGAAAAGACGAAGGGATAAAAACAAAGAATCTCTGATACCAGGCAAGAAACGGAAATCCGCGAGCGAAGGCGCTGCGGAACGGCCTTCGCCCAGCGACAGTAAAGCAGAGGCTCCCAAATTGCAATCTCCTTCGAAAGACAGCAAAACACCAGCCGCTGTTGAATCACCACCGGCTGCAGAGGATTCCAAGACGACGAAGGCCTTGGGGGCCTCTTCTACGTCAGATCCGCAGAAAGGGAATGCAAGTCTGCCAGCAGCAAAATCATCTACGTTGTCCCTCGGGTTAGCCGGGTATAGTTCTGACTCCGAATGAATATGCAACGGAAACTTATTCACACAGTAACTACATTTGGTTCATTAGAATAGTTCCTCCGTTCATGTCATGAACACTGGTATGTGGACTTGTCCAATATGCACCCCGTTAAGTTCCACCCCCGAGAAGGCAATCTATTACACTTCTCTAAGATACAGATGGCAATGCCGCTTTACCTTCTTTTACTTGCAGTCAGGCATTCAAGAGAACAATAATTACCCGTACTCGCTGTTCGTTGTGACGACTGAGATATTAGTCAAACTAACCTTCTTGAATAGTCCATGTACATTTTCCCAATTCGTTGACAAAGTGTCAACGAAAGAACAAAATACTAGACATTCTCACTCCATCTCAGACATATACAGCTCAAGCAATGTGCCATGGGATTGTGGAAACAGCTTGGTCCTCACTCCCCGACTAGCTGCAATCTTCTCGTCATTATCAAAGAATTTACTCTTGATGTGTGGCAAAAGCAGCCTGTTTCTGTTCCTGTTCCTCGAGCTTGCGCTCCAAGTCGTGCGGGGTATAATCCTCCTTGCGAGTACCAGGCACGATCCAGGGAGCGTTGGAGAACAGGTAGTTCATCTCCTCGAGAGGCAATTTCTTGGTCTCGGGAAGGAGCAGCCAGAAAAACAGTGCATTAGTGAAATTGCAGATAATGAAGAGGTAGTAGTAGCGGTAACGAATATTTGTCATGGCGATGGGCGTCACTTGACCGATCATGGTGTTGAACGCAAACGATGTCATTGTGGCAATGGAGACACCCTTCGAACGTGTCCGTGTGTCGAATACTTCGGCAGGGATAATCCACGAAAGGGGACCGCAGGTGCACGAGAAGGAGAAGTTGTACAACCAAGTCATGATGATGAAGCCCCAGTGAGCACCGGTGTTGTTGGCTTCAGGAGGGAACCGCGCCAGCAGGATACACGCGATGATGAAGGTGACCATGTTGCCCAGGTTGCCACCGATGAGAGTCCAGCGGCGACCGAAACGATCAATGAAAGCCATGCATAGGCACTCCGCGACCAAAGCGATGATTGAATTGATCGCCTGGTACTTGAGCGTGTCGTCGCCCGCAATGCCGATCTGTTTATAGATTGTCACAGAATAGTATCTGCAAGGTTTTTATCGTTAGAACCACACTGCTAGTCGTCACATATGGAGGATACTCACTGGATCGCCGAGACACCAGTCATTTGCACGGACGCCTGTACGGCACAGCATAGGAAAAGGCGGCGGAAGGACGACCGATTAGTGAATAACTCACTGTAGGACTTGGCCTCGTGCTCGTGCTCATACACAATGCTCTCCTGAATCTGATTATACTCTGCGCGCACCCACGCGTCATCCTCATTACCATGAGCATGGAGCTTTGCGAGGGTCTGCAGGCCCTTTTCGTTGAAGCCATTGTCAATGAGCCAACGGGGTGACTGTTCCTGTGTTAGCATCGCATTCTGTAAGAGCATTCTATCTTATTACCTCAGGGAAGAACATAATCAGCAGACCCAGGACGACTGCAGGGGCCATCTGCAGACCAAGTGGAACTTGCCACTGAGCGTTGTCCGTCGGATGAAATCCGACGTAGGTACCATATGAGATCCATGCGGCACACAGCGCACCGACACCCAGCATGAACTGCTGCAAGGCTGTCACCCGGCCTCGAATCCTGGGGTGGCAGATTTCGGCTTGGTACATGGGAATAATCATGGTGAGGAAACCAACTCTGGGTTCTCCATTAGCAAGGTCGCCTGGTCTGCTTGAGGGCATTCAACCTACCCGAGCCCGGCGAAGAATCTTCCGCTGTACAAGTATGAAATCGTCTGGGCACCAGTTTGAAGACCTCCTCCGAGGCAGAAGACGAGACAACCGATCGCGATGGTCCATCGTCGTCCCAAATAATCACCGGTGGGACCGGCAAATCCTGCCCCAAAGAAAGCTCCCGCCGTGAACATGGACACTACCAACCCACTGCGCAGGCGTCAGACTTCATGAGCCCTCTAACCAGCAAAAGCAGATACACTCACGTTTGCGTGTCATTTGCGGCAAACCTTGCATCGAAAGATTGGCACGAAATGACTTCTGCAATGACACCCAAATCATCTTGACACCGCAGGTCAGCGCTGAAAACACTCAAGGTCCAGCGGATAGTATACATACAGCCAAAAAGGAACGACCCCAGGGAGGCGAAGACGCCCACGAGGAACTAGCCACCGACAGGTCAGTATAGAGCCAAGTACCTCAGGCATTGCTATAGATACCTGGTACAACGACGGACTCAAGCGCATGATCACACCAATAAAGGATCTGGATTAATAGTAACAATGATTATTCCTCTGGGGAAAACAAAAAAACGCGGAGAATGAAAGGATCGTCCTGGAGTGCTCCGCAGGGCCTTTTTAAGGATATCTACTCCGTTCTGGGGTTCAGATTCACGCAATTGAGTGATAGCACCACGCGACGCAATAAAGTCAACGCCATATCGTTTATCGTGCAGCAACGACCTCACGCGAAGCTTAGAACACGAATATCCGGTGGAGTAATTGCCAAAAGGGCAAGTTTCCTTGATCGGGGCACCTCACGCGGCACCTTGAAATTCTGAGCAGACTGGCTAACTATGGAACCACCAAACCCTGAAGCAAAGTCAATCGCTCTTAAAGCCATGGCAAGGAAAAATCAAAAAGACAGACATAACTGGGCTATGCGGGGAGCTAGTTTCACAGTCTGAAAATGAAAGCAACGAATTAGAGCAGAACATAACGAAAAAACATTAGCAGGAGAGCAAGCAAGCTGATTGATGGAACAACTGGTGGCGTTTCCTCGGCTCCAACACTAAGCAGGAATCCCCAGCCAAATGCTCCAGTTGCCATCAACCACGGCGCTCACCATCTCCTCATCAGTGGAATCATCATTTGAGGCCTGGAATTTCCCCCGCAGGGAATTTGCCCAATTCAATTATAATAATGGAGCGATGGCTGGGGATAAATCCAGCATACAAGCTGGAGTTTCAGAGAGCCTTATCGAGACGAATCCGTTGCGGTTGCTTCGGACAATAGTACTGATTGATTGTTATTCCTTCTTCCCCAGTCTGTCGTTCCTGTTGGGCTTTAAGATCTCTTAGTCGTTGAATACTTGACTCATTTCGCCGGGATTTGTTGACTGCCAACTCCAGTCATGACTACCTTCACGAAGCTCAGTGAGCAGGAGACACCTAGTATCTCCGTTCATGCGTCGCGACGCATTTCCAAGATCAACCCTAATATCTATGCCGGGTTCACAGAGTAAGATCAATCCATGCTTGATGCTGAAGAAATTGCGACTCCGAGATTTGTGGTAACCTATGACCGCAGGCATATGGGCCGATGCATTTATGGAGGCATCTATGACCCGGGCAATCCTCTGTCGGACGAGAATGGCTTTCGTAAAGATGTACTGGAAGCCCTCAAGGAGCTGAATATTCCTGTTGTTCGTTACCCTGGTGGTAATTTTGTAGCTACATATCACTGGATTGATGGTGTCGGCCCTAAAGATCAACGGCCTGCAAGGTAACTGCATCTCCAGCTAGAGCTTCAGGAATTATTCTTTGAGCGAATTGTTAACTCAATTTCATGGCTCTACAGACCTGAGCTGGCTTGGCTGGGAACCGAGACCAACCAGTTTGGAACAGACGAGTTCCTGAAGTGGTGCGAGCTTCTTGGAACTGAGCCTTACTTTTGCTTGAACTTTGGCACAGGTACGATACGGTCCAGCTGCTCTATAATGCGAATGCTGACATTTGTCTCCAGGAACTCTCGATGAAGGTAGATCATGCCAGCTTCGTACTTCCTTTCGGCTTATACTAATGTGGGTGTCTAGCTCTTGCGTGGGTTGAGTACTGTAACGGGACAAAGGACACTTATTATGCCAATCTCCGGAGGAAGAATGGCCGTGAAGAGCCTTACAACGTATGCCACCTGGGCTACTGGTCATTTGCCAGACACTAACATCTAATCTCTAGATCAAATACTGGGCTCTTGGTAACGAAGTATGGGGACCATGGCAGGTCGCCCAGATGACCAAGGAGGAGTACGCTCACAAGGCCTACCAGTGGGCAAAGGGTGAGATCCTATTCTCTTCGACTCCGCAAGAACCAACCAGTATGCTAATATACTTTCTAGCGCTGAAGCTGCTTGATCCCACTCTGAAATTGATCCTCTGTGGCCAAGACGGCACTGCCTCATGGGACTACTACACACTGAAACACTGCCTGCTTCCCACTCACTCGCCTCTTTCTACTAGCACCGTCCCTCTCATCGACATGCACAGTATCCATCTCTACACCTGCGGTTCAACTCATCTCCCCAACGTCACTGCTCCCCTCGCTGCTGAGCGCGCGATTGAGATTACCTCGTCCCTCATCGACCTTGCCATGATTGAGAACGGTATTCCTCCTGACCAGCCGCGGCCCACAATCTGCTTTGACGAGTGGAATGTGTGGGACCCTCTGCGCGCTGAGGGCAGCAAGGGCGCTGAGGAAAGCTATACCCTCTCCGACGCTCTGGCCGTGGCCATCTGGCTCAACGTCTTTGTGCGTAAGAGCAAAGACGTCGGGATGGCCTGTATTGCACAGAGCGTCAATGTCATCTCCCCTCTGATGACAACCAAGGACGGTATCATAAAGCAGACTATCTGGTGGCCCTTGTACCTGTTCTCGAAGTATATGCGAGGCTGGACCATCAATGCGCACGTCTCTTGCGGTGCCTATGAGGGCGAAACGAGTCCCAAGTGGGTCCGCGCCGTCAAGGACACTCCCTGGCTGGATGTCAGTGCCACCTTGGGAGAGGACGGATATGTTAATGTTGCTGTCGTCAACATTAGCGACGAAAAGGATATGGAGAGCAAGTTCGAGGGGGCTACTGGTGATGTCACTGTATTCACGGTCACTGGAGACAGTGTCTCGGCCTGCAACATGAAGGGAAAACAGGAAGTTGGCCTGACGGAAAGCACTTGGGACGGCAAGGGTGCCTACAAGTTCCCCAAGCACTCGTTCACTCTACTTAGGTGGAAGGCGGAGCAAGTTTAGAGTTCTGAAGACGACTCTAATCTTCTTCTTCATTCCGTTGTTTCTTCGGGTTTCTTTCGGCCTAATGATGCTATACTGGAATATAGAAACGGTTTATGATAGACATCACATTGCATTATTTCGTCAATCTAGGACATGTCTCATCACAGGTGGTTTGGGAGTGTAAGACTCTCGTGTAGATCCTAAACCATCAACCATCATGTTTCCCACATCGTAACTCAACCAAAGTTGACATCCTTGACTTTATCCTCCTCATCGAGGTGGATGTTGAGTCTGGCAAATAACAAGTCATCAGCATTTGTCCATATCAACATAGATATGATAACGAGGCAGGCATGCATACCTTTCCGGTCTATGATCCATAGTCATCGCGTCACCGGGACGAAGAACTCGATGGTGCTCGGGTAAATCCTTCTTCGCAAAGGTCTGTTCACCATCAGCAACCAAAGTTACGATCAAAGTAAAATAGTCCAAAATCGCACATTCACATCGCTGGTGGAGTCACTGATCTTTTTGCCGGCGAGCTTGTTGAGCCATTCGCCCTTATCAGAACCCATGTTCGAGTTGATTCCTGGGACGACAAGAGGCATGGTGAACTGCGTTTGTGTAAAATATGTTCGAGTTATTGAGTTGCGGAAAGGGAAGGGCTGAGATATTCCCATTCAAGTATGTGTTGATGACGTTCCTGATGGTGTATTCTCAAATGCTGGGGATTTATATCGCTTGAAGGCAGCAATGATAAGACGATCATGACGTCGTCCTGTGGAGAAGCAGGCATCTCGATCTATATATCCTTTTTGGGATTAGTGTATCTGCCGCCATGATTATGATTTCACCTTCACGTGCTCTGTCTTCTCTGCTTTGTATCTCTTTCATCATCATATGGTCTTTTAAGTCTCTGTAGATAATCTGTAAAGAGTTGTGAAGTGGTTTATGTGTCTCTATATGCCTCGGAAAATCATGATCTATGTTATCAGCCAGTGAGTAGTCTTCACTAAGTGCCAGAGTTCTTCCATCTTCTTAAAATATTTCAAACAATGCAACGAGGTCTCCGAGATGTTCAAGCCTTGGTCACAAAGCAACTCAATTCTCATGTCTTATCCTGTGCCTTACTAAAGTTTTAAGAAATTAGGCATGATTTGGTGCTGATATCAAGTATTGCGTTTGTTTGCTGAAAATATACAAAATGCATATAAGGAAGCTGCGTCGACCTCTGCCATCGTGCCTGCTTTTCCGGCACAGTACCAAGCCTCAACTGATCAGAACGTACTATGCGAATGATATCCCGATCTTCATCCGCGGTGGTTCTTCCACTCATTGTACCTATGTCTTGAGTGAGAGGTCTTTATGGTGATCCTAGGTCGACCTTCTGGAAACCAGGATGCAAGGAAGCCTACTTGTCATGCTCGCATTACTTTGTAGTGCCATGTACACTTTGCAATCAGGCTCTCCCTTTGTGCGCTCTCCAGAACCTTCCATTGCGCCATCAGCATTACTGCCCTCACCATCCAAAGTGGTATCCGCATCAATACCATCATCAACCGCACCGAAAGGGATTCGTTCATGGCCAAAGGATAGATGGGACAGCATCTACAAGTTCTTCAAAGATAAGCTGCATATTCAGCAACTGAGCCTCAGAGGAGATGACCGATTCGAGCTGAGCGATGAGGTCAATACATCCGACGATTCCACGTGCTTATATTTCACCATTGGCTTGGGGGGCTCGACAAAACATCAACCGTCGATAGGGATGGAGACACGCGCAGAATCTACAAAATCGCACAGATTGGCTTCGAAGAAGACCCAATGCGCATGCACGCCAACAGCAGTATACAAGAGAACGGTGACCTCAACTGCGGATTCCGGGACACCAACACCATCGCATAAGTCCTTTCTCCCGCATTGGAGCTACAAGAAGAGCTCCATTGCTGCCGCGGTAGTATTCGTAGCTATTACCACTGTGGCATTCATAGCCCTGACCGTCCTCCTCATCAGAAGGCTCCGACAATCCTGGAAGCGATACAAGAAAAGGAAACGCGATTACGCGAATTCTAAATACGCTGCAATCTCTCCTCTCGACGACAACATTGCTTCGTACTCATTTGGCAGCACCCCGAAAATCAGACGCAGCCGCGAATTGTCGATATCTGACAAGAGCCGTCCAACTACTAAGACATACGTCGCGGAAGAGGCAACGAGGCTGGAAGCCGTGACACGAGCACTTTGCGCAAACGCAGATGCCATGCCAGTTTCGCCTCTAGGCTCATTTGTTGCTCCAAAGCAGTCAGAAGCCAGGCTCCCACAATCGTCTGTGCCAGAGCGCCCAGGGAAATCCGAATTGCCCACGGAGCCATGGCGGGCCGGCTTTGTTCCAAAGCAAGTGGTCGTTGTGTCTCCATTGAATCGAATGGTGTCAGGAAAAGCAGCGGAGATTGGGTGGCAATCATCGTTGAGAACCATCGATCAATTAAGCTTGCTTGAACCGCAAGCCAGGCCTCAAAGGCCACACCGAAAAGCTCGGCGCGAGGTCCGCAACCAGACTCCATCTACAGATCAACTTTTCCGCCTTCCATCAATCGAGAGAAGCACGTCACCTCTTTTCGAATTCTGAATGTACGTGCCACTTAGTTTCAAGCGCTATCATCCTCATGGATCGCGATCTCAAAGGCGCCATAGCTTTGAGTAGAGTACCCTTCCCAAACCTCTCAGGCACTGGTAACGCTTGTCGAGAGCCTTTGAATACTCAGGATTTGTCAATCAATTGCTTAGCGGTTCTAACGGGCATTCCCAGAAGTCGGGATTTTGCTTGGTCGTAGGCTGTACACTGGATGCATGCCTATTGAAGACATACCCAGGTCGCTGGAAAGAAATGGTCACAAGAGTTGTACATTCTTGAATCTCTTTTTTTTTTCTCACAAGTTGTATAAATATCGAACATGATCCCTTCTAAAAGGAAGAATGGCAGACAATGCATTGATGCCACGGTACCTCATCCTCATTTTCATCAGCGTCGTCACAGATGTATTGGGTCATTAAGAATTAAAGGCTTGAACGAGAAGTAGGCACAAAACTATTCTATAGGCAAGCAAATGGACCAGGCCCACATAAAGTCTATCTATCGTACTGTACGGTTGTTCATCTCCTGTATCCGGTTCAAGCACCGTTCAAGGCGTTTCCCTCGCTCCTTTTCTCGGACCAGGGTGGACCTGACGAAGGCCCGGACGGCATCCCGGCCGACTTTCTCCCGCCAGGATGTCCACCCGGCGAGTTCCCCGACTACAACATCCTTGTTCCATGCGATTTCCCGGGAGAGGCGTCCAATATGGGCTTCAGCCTCTTGGATCTTCTGTTCCAGATCGCGAACTGACTTCTGCCGGGATTCCTCCAGGCCCGGAAAATTGATGTTGAATTTTCGGGGCAAGGACGAGGAGATGAGAGAGGAGCGATTGCGGGAGAGGGTGCGGGTTGTGGATTGTAGATTCGATATGAGCGAAATAGGGCGAGAGAGCGAACCGAGTATTGCAACAGTTGTATTGTCGATCGAGGCAAAGACAGATAGGAACTGAAGAAGCGGGGATGAGTCTGAGGACGAGGTTGACAAATAGGAAGCGTAGCGGGCGAAAGCGTCCACATGTGAATGGGGAAGTGCGTTTGTGGGCTCCTGGAGAGTCGAGACGACCGACGAGCACAGCGCCAGCGCGTCGGCTATATCTGACGCGGCATTCTGCAAGGAATGACCACGGCGAATCAGACTGCGCGTGTTGGCGTGAAGGGCACGAACCATATCCTGAGCCTGCGCCACGAACTGTTCTGTTTCACGCATGCCGTCAGCTGTCACAGGCGCGTAGTCGTCCGCAATGGACTCGGAGAGCACCAACGCCTTGCGCCGGGACCTGTCCGTCATCATCTCCGGTTGCAGCTCGGGCACCAGGAAGAACTCCCACAGCATCTCGTGAGTCGCAAAGGTTGGATGGGCAAGCAGGATTTTCAAGAATCTGTCTAGCCTCTCTTGCATGTTGTGGAGAACAGACCGAGATGGTTTAGAATGGATTTGAAAAGGATTGCGAAAATCAGAAAAGGAAGGGATATAAGAGGCCGGATGCTCCATTGCGAGACACTGAGCAAGATTCTCGAAGTCCGAGAGGGTGCGACGGCATGTAGTGACCGTGTAGGTGGTGGACCCAGCTCGAGATTCGTCTGACTGGGATTGAGAGCTTGGCGCACCGGACTTCAAAACAAAGCGTACTGTGGCATCCTCAACGAAATACGAGCGTACAACTGTAGTGACACGACCAGATGGGTCATCATGTGACGAGGGAGAATTTGAGACAAGAATGAGATCGTCAATGCGATTACGGACTTCATCATCTTTGGCGAGCTCGACGGCCGTCAATCCGCGAGCTTCCTTGAGATGAACGTCGACCCGGGGATCCAAAAAAAGGATACGCACTTGATCGACGCGGCCGTACTTGCTAGCCATCATCAGCGGCGTGAACTTCTTCTCGTTGGTTGCGTTCGGATCACAATCGCTTTCCCGTAGAATTCGAATTGTGATCTCTGGATCACCAACGATGTGTAGCAGTGTATTTCCCTTCGAGTCTACATGATCGTCAAGCCGCAAAGGCAAGCCGTCTCCCTGAGATCTTTGAGCGGCGGTCAACGCCTCGTTGACCATCGATTTATAATCTGGATGGTCATAAGATCTGCACAGAGCAAAGAGCGGCGTCTGGCCATTTCTGTCACGTTGTCGCCAAGGAATGAGTCTTTCCAGTCTATACATTACTGATGGCGTACTGAACAAATAGTGAGCAACTGTGCGTCCGTGCATGTCTGCTTTTTTGAGGTAACCAGCAATTGTTCGCTCGTCAGTTGCATTAAACAGAAAGTCGAGCAAAGTTTCTACCATTTCAGGGTGAGCGAGTTGCACTGCGGCACTGAGTAACGTTGTTCCATCGGTGTTTGTATCCTCGAGAATGTCTTCCATTGAGTAGTACTCTTCTAGGCTCAGCAGGTACTTCAGAGCCTCCGGCTGGCGACTGTCAACGGCCATCATGGGAATTGAATCACCCGCAGGATCTTGCGTTTTTGTCAAGGTCTCGATTGAGCTGTCCCCTTCTATTGCACTGGTCATTGATTCGATGGTGGTGGTGCGAGAGAGAAGCGACGTAGCTGACGACTCCGATATGCTGCGGACATCCATCGAGACTTTCTTCACAGGACGCCGAACTTCCTGGGGCGGGGAGGTGTTTGCCCATGTTTGAAATGGGAACACATGTGCCAGCGGTGGCGCCTCAGAAAGAGTTTCATCAATTTCTTGATGCTCAATATTTGACCTTGAGAGCCTTCGATGAATAGAATGTCCTCGTAGCGGTTCATTCATGTCTTCGTCCTCTCCGGTTTTGAAGAAGACTGATTTCCCTTCAGGCTCGTCCGGGGCATCGTCCATTGAGCTAATGTCACCTTTGGGTTCAAGAATTGCTCTCATTTCTGCAACTCGTCCAGCTCTGGTGGCATTCCACAGGCGCTTGTTGCGAATACTGGCTCTTCGGAGGCCGGCTGAATCAGTCACCAAGTACGTAAGGACTGCCTCGAATGTGCTCAAAGCATAACCCATTTCACCGCTATCAACATCGTCGATATAGATGAAGTGCTGCATATACAAGAGTCTTGCTTGAAGATGCCTGACCTGGGATCTGATAACCACAATAAGTAACAAGGAGACCAGAATATCCGCATTTACGGTGACAGGCGCAATCTGTTTTTCCGAGGCTTGAAGATTCGCGTTACCATACGTCCCGGGGTACGATAAGACCTTGACTGTCTCCAGCAAAGTATTGAGCATGTCGTGTGGACACTTTGCGTCCGTCATCTTTCGGAACTCCTCGACCGCTCGTCCGAGCCGATGTAGCAGCTCTCTTTTGCCATCTCGACCTCCTTCGACGATTCCTACTTGTGAAACATCTAGATTCTCCATATGGCGGATTCTGGAATCCAGTTCTGCGTCCTCGGGTCGACGGAAGCTGCATAGTCGAGGAAATAGCAGCGGTTCATGTACTTGTTCGGCAACATAACGCTCAATCAACCGTTCTACCAGAGGTCCAGTCAGGTCGGTCGTGGCGCCGAGGAGAGACAACTGCTGTTTGTCCACAAGCCGGAACAGATCGATTGCGGCGGTAACTGCTGTCTCCAGGCTGCGGCGCATCAAATCCTCATCATCTTCGAAGTACTCCTCGGAATTAAAGGGAAGCCCTTCTCGGTTGCGGGACGACGTGCTCCGAATAGAAGCGACTTCATCCGCCGAATGTTCATCGCGATCCGGTTTACGTTCGTAGTCATCAGGGATGGAAGGCGAGCGCGATGGAGGTGGCGGTAACGGTTTCCCCAGTTCTTTCCCAAATTCTCGGAATAGTCTGTCCAAGCCTGGCTGCATCTGTCTTGCAATCATAGGAAAATTGGCCAGCAGTTCTCCGAACGACTTGATTTCTTTCTTCGGTAACGAAGAGGCAGAATCGCCAGCTTTGGCGCCTGTATTCGTGACTACTCTTTGAGGTAGCGACCCGGGCACTACAGCAGAGATGATCTTCCCTGGATCGAATAAGCCGATCAACGGGCGGGAGATGTAGTAGATAAGCCATGGCTGAGAGTCGGTACTTGGAGTATAGTACAGAGCGTCGGACAGGAGCTGAGCTTGGGTTAGGGATTTGAAGCCTGACAATGTGGTTCAGCACAGGCGAAAAAAAAAAGCAGAAAGAAAGGAGGCCATTCCTACCTTTGTTGCTGTAAACCGAACTCTCTTTGACAATCACGGTTCGCCCGTTGACAGTTGTCACCTGCTTTGCCTTCCCCCTGCTATCCCGAACATTCGAATCATCCTTGGCATTCCCGGTAGCTCCATTGGCAATCGGTATTCGCAGCGTATGACTTCCCAGAAACTCTTCGGACACCACAAGGTCGGAATAGAGGAGGTTGGACTCCCGATCTCGCGACCCGATTAAGGATTCCGTGATCGGAACGAGCAGAACCTGCAGCAAAGGTAAGAGAATATTCCCCAGGCTTAGTCCAATATGATCCCAACAAGGCATACATGATTCTCTATCGGCAGACACTGCCCTGGGACAGTGCTTCGGAAGAAGGCACGGAGAAAGGGATTTAGAGGGTGCATCCAAACGGTCTTGGACGACGGCCCGAGAAAGAAATTCCGGCACTCATCAAGCCGTTCGTCTCAATCCCAAAGTCGGGTTTGCGCTGCACCCGGTGATCGTCACAAGAGAGGAGCAGTTCCCGCGCATACGCTCGCTGAGGAGCTAGTAACCGCGCAGGCCCGACTATTGCTGAAACTCTCAAACAGAAGTCAAATCTATGAATGAATGTCGGATGGGTAAAGTTCCATACAATCAAACAAAAATAGCTAGCAGAATTGAGATCCACGTAGAAACGGTTTGCGATCAAAGATAAGGAGCTGAAGCCTTTCAGCCAGCAGCTTTCGGAGACACTGGAGCTCATGCGCTAGTCCGTATTTGGTAAGCTGCTAATTATCTATGGCAAGCATTTTGTTTTTGGTGCATTCAGAACTGCTATGGAGTTCCGCAACATCTAAAATGATAGCGCTCAAGAAAAGGCATTGATATTGGAATCAATGAAGACGCGAGTTGGGCTTGAGATGAGATCAAGATGTAGAATACAACCTAAGAATCTTTTGTGTATCTCCTGTTAAAAAAACACGACTGACTAATGTACAAATATAGCTGCAGCCCAGACGGGGTTCACTAAAGATCTCAGACACTGCAGAGTCACATAGAAGTCTCAAAGAACCCCAGTTGTGGGAGCCAATGCCTGATACTGAAATGAATGCGCTGCCCGCCAAGCACCTTGTTTTCAGTTGACGCTGAAGCGAAGGAATAGATGCCTCTCGAGAGTATGGGTATGGGAAAGAGAATATAGATACCACGCAGGATTAACCCAGTCTGCGGACTTTTCTGCTTCTCGTACCACCGAACTTTATCCGTGTCGAATCTGTCACTCGACTCACCAGCCCGCGAATATTCCTTCCCTCACTGCCAAGCAGAACCTTGGTAAATGCTTCTCGACCCTGCCCGAAGCCCTGAAAGACGATTTCGAGCCGTTGAATGTTCATTAAATAGCCTCTTTCCTGAATTTGACCAAACACGTGGGACGTCAACTGATACGCTGGGTCATATCCAGAACGGCCACCTTTCCGAAAGCCGAGGTGTCCACAACTCATCGACAGCATTGGGTTCCCGTTCGGTTGCGTCAGCGTGAGAAGTGTATTGTGTTTGTGGGCGTAAACGTGAAGATGGTGAGGAGGAGAACGATCGGCATATGGGTCTTTAATCATCTCTGCTTCCAAACTCTCGGCCATGCGGGAATAGTCGCGACTGACGCCCTGGCTAGCGCGAGCTTTTTCTCCTTGCATCATTCTAGTAATAGCAGAAAGCGGCGAATTGTCTTCGGTGGTCTGTTCGGACTTGGGATTCAGAATTTGTCTCTCAATCTCGCGAGTTTTATCTTTCGCGCTTGAGCTGGCCTTCGTTGTGGTAGAAAAGGGGCGCAGCACGCGCGGGGAGATCACTCGAGACTGGCATGATCGGCTAGTATGTGACAATGCCTTGACCCAGGAGGTGAAAGAGTTCATCTTGCTGCGTTGCCGAGGATATATCGGGGACGTGCGGCTGTTGAGGCAAATAGAGACAGCAAAAGGCCAGTCGATTCGGCACAAACGCAGAACAGAACCTCGAGTTGAGCGGAAGGCCGATGCGATAACGAAGATAAAAAGAGAGATCAAGTACAAAGCTTCAAACGAGAAAGGGCATACACTCAGCTAATCCGGTTGAATCGGCAACAATAATACCTTGTCGACGGGGCCTGGAGAAAATGGCGGCGGAAAAGGCGAGGCCCGAAGTTTTCGATCTTGGCACCCGCGATCTCAACTTTTTTCCCTTCTTCACCAGTCGAATCGCTTCTTCTCTCCTACTCCCCACGCCCCAAATCTACTTGCTTCCTCCTCAACATTTGGGGTCTGACCCATATTCTTCGTCACCCCCTAACACATTAACCTTGCGATATTGGCTTATATTTTGTCTCCGGGTTTCCAGAGCATGATCTCGGCTAACAAAATGTCGGCTGTCGCACGGGCGGCCACTTTACGGTCCCATGTTCCCGGCCTGAGGACGACATATGGCAATGCCATCGCTTCTTCGCGGACTCTGATTCAAAATAGCGCTTATTCGACCTCCACCTCTCCCTCGCTTACAGTATTACAGCGCCAAAAATCGTCTCTTCCCACACGCGTTCAACTTATCTCTCCGTATACTGCTTTGCCATTGACGCGGTCATTCCATATTGCCACTGCCCGTTGGCAACAACAGCAAAAAGAGAAGCAGAGTGAAGAACCAAAAAGTGAGAAGAGCGAAGAGGCGAAGAGTGAAGAGGACAAGGAAGAAGGACAGAAGGAGGCGCCTCCACCACCGCCGCCTCACGGAGACAAGACTCCATGGCAGGTTTTCAGAGAGACCCTCCAAGCAGAGTTCAAGGCATCAAAGGAATGGAATGAGTCTACTAAGGCTCTCGCATCCTCTGCTCATGAGTTCGCCGAGAACGAGAATGTCAAGCGCGCTCGTGCCGCTTATGAAGCCGCTTCGGGTGCGGCAACTTCGAAGACGTCGGCTGCGTTGAAAAAGACCGGTCAGGCCATCGGAAAAGGAGCTGCATGGACATGGGATACCCCTGTTGTTAAGGGTATCAGGAAGGGTGTCAGCGCCACTGGTGCCGGACTTGAAAAGGCCACAAGACCCGTACGTGAGACGGAGGCCTACAAGAACGTGAAGGAAGCCATCGATGACGGAAGCAGCTCTCGCTATGGTGGCTGGATTGAGAAGGAAGAGCGCCGTAGACAGCGACAACTGCGTGAAGAGAAGGAGTTGAAGAGCGGGCGCCGTTCGGCCGAGCCGCTGGTTGAAGATCCAAAGTAAGTGCTACATTCTCATGGAGCTTTCCTTTTCACCATGCTGACAATTGCCTGGTGCAGTGCGGGTACCAACCTCACCCTTCACAAGGACGCTGCTTGGAAAGAGTCGTGGCGCGAATTCAAGGATTCAAACCCTATGATGCAGAAACTCTTCGCTCTGAAGGAGACCTACAACGAATCTGAGAACCCTCTCATCAGTACGGCACGCAGCATCTCGGATCGTTTCGCTAGCTTCTTTGCCGAAAATGAGACTGCCCAGGTCATCAAGAAGTTCCGGGAAATGGATCCCAATTTCCAGATGGAATCATTCCTGAGGGAGATGCGCGAATATATTCTACCAGAAGTACTTGATGCCTACGTCAAAGGCGATATTGAGACGCTCAAGCTCTGGCTGTCTGATGCGCAATTCCATGTTTACGCTGCTCTTTCCAAACAGTACACCACTGCGGGACTCAAGTCGGATGGCCGCATCCTCGATATCCGAGGTGTTGACGTTTCTCACGCCCGTATGCTGGAACCTGGCGAGATTCCCGTCTTTGTTGTGACCTGTCGTACACAGGAGGTACATGTTTACCGTAACGTTAAGACGGGTGAACTCGCAGCTGGTATGGAAGACAAGGTGCAGCTGGTTACCTATGCCATCGGTCTCACGAGAATACCCGAGGACGTCAACAATCCCGAGACCAGGGGATGGAGGTTAATTGAACTGCAGAAGGCTGCCCGTGACTACATCTAAAGTCCCCGCAACATCTACTCCTACGTACCTTATCCCTTCAACAAATTCTCGACTGTCACTCTCCATTTCCTGATTATCGGCGGCCTTTGATGATGAATCACCTCTCATACTCTTCTCGATTGTTTTTGATATCATGCCACTGTACCATATCGACTATCTAAATAGAGACCTGGCGGAACCGGCGCTCATGTTTTATCTGTGATAGTAACTTCGGCCTATTGAATCATTTTCAGTGTCTTTCTATTTCTTTTCTTTTCTTTTTTTCCTATTATCATTATTATTATTACTGCCTGAGTACTCGTGTGTCCTCTCCGCGGATTTCACGGATCTGGTTTTCCAGTTTTCTTGGATCGCCGTCAGCGAAGGCTGCGCGGACGGATCGTGACGAATAGCGAGGACATCTTTGATCCTGGATTGCCTGCATAAGAGCCAATGTCCTTTTTTCCCCTATCTCTGTGGGCGTATACGGCGTTGGATTATGAGATCTGCGACAACCAACTCCACTCCGAACATTTTCATGTATTGGCATCTGGAATCATACCCAGCCTTTTTGCCGTTTTCTGGTGCTTTTTTTGCTACGAGCTACCTGAACATATATTCTGATCATTGATACTAGGTACAATGCACGGCTGGCTCCTTGGCGTGCCTTGTCAAGGTAATACCTTTAAACAGTGACAAATATAACTGACTACTTCATATATTGGCGAGATTGAATATCATTTTAGCGATTAAAACTTCTATCCGTTTGCAAAACTCATGACCAAGCTGGTATGGCTGGTATTCAATAGTCACAGGTGGGTGAAGTCAGAGAAGGTGAGTATCTTTTAGACAAATTCAGAGGTAATATATCGTAGCTGGATGGAAAAGGGGGACTTTCATGCAACTGAGGGTAACTTCTGGTTTACTGCTGACCTCCACGCCCGGCACCGCCCATCATGTTCCTTGCCCTAGATAGTGTGGTTAGTTTTCTGTGACAGGAAAGAAAAAAGTAAATGCATGAACTTACATCTCCGCAAGGCTTGGGTCGCTCATCAAGCTAGACATGTCCGGCATTCCACCGCCCCTGCCGAAGTTCTCGGCCATCTGCCTCAACTGAGGGTTGTTCATGAGGTTGTTCAGCGTGTCTGGGTTGCTCATCAAGTTCTGGGCCATGCTCGCGAACATGGGGTTGCTCATGATGGAGCTAAGGTCGGGCATACCACCGCCGCCGCCGCCACCTCCGCCACCGAGCATGCTGGCGAGAGAGGAAAGATCAGGCATTCCACCAGCACCGCGCGATGCTCCAGCGGCATCGTCGACATCATCGGCTGGAGGCTCGTCACCACGGCTGGCCTCTTCGATCTTCCGCTTGGTGGTTTCAAGACCTCTCTTCATCGCATCGCTACCTCCGTTACCTTCCGCCTCAATACCCTTTTCGTAGGCTTCCTTTGCTCCCTTGTAGTCTGCCATATCGAACCGCGCTAGACCAAGACGACTCCAGGCCTTGGAGTACTTGGGATCCACAACAGTGGCGAGTTCTGCATCCTCCGCAGCTTTCTCATGTTGACCGGAGGCAGAGTAGGCAGCAGCACGGTTGGAGAGGTAGATCGGGTTCGAGGGAGCGATGGACAGGGCCTGAGTGTAAAGATCGATCGCCTTACTGTATTCCTTGCGGGCCATGGCAGCATTTCCCTCCGATTTCAACTTGTCGGATTCGGGCGTGGGGGCACCAGCCTTGGGCTGCTGTGCCTCTGTGCTCTTGGCCTGCGCTCCAGCACTGGCAGATTCTGTCGAAGGCTTCTTACGGAGCTTCTCGTAGACGCTGAAGATGCTCGCCAGAGATTGTCCGCCAAGAGCGTCCTTGACGGCGGCCTCATCGGAGGGGTTGACCTTGAAAGTGTCTGCAATACACGATTGAGCGATCTCAATGGATTCAGCGTCATCCGCAGTCAGAGTGCCATCCTTCAGGCTGGAGTTTAAAAAGTCAATAATCGCAAGCGCCAGGCGCTTCTGAGACTCGGTGGGAGCCTAGACGGGACAGGAGTCGGTAAGTTACTGATCTGCCATGAATACGGTGTACTGGAGAGCCGGACCATCTTACCATTTTGTGAACTGACTGAATATCGCACCAAAAGGTCGGATTGGGTTAAAGTCGAAAAGTAAAGACAGATACAGCAAGCGGAAGACTGGAGAATCAATCGAATGCTCGTGAAGCTGAACGAATGCGGGGCCTCGCCGCGGTGTTTGCTTTGTTTGTTCTGTTTGTCAGGGAGAGCTCCAGTACACGTGATGATGGCCATGATCATCAACATGTAGGCCTGAATGCCATCGTCCATATGAGATATTCGTTGATCTGATGGCTAGGACGTGGAAGACTTTGATAATCACGGCGGGTCTCTCTGGGATTGAAATGTCCCGAGTTTGACACATCAAACTCCATCCTAGAGCAGTCGAAGATGACTCAATGTGAGCTCCTTCTCCTGTCTGTGACTATCGCACCCAAGTCGAGCCATGTACTGGCCAAATGGAGTTCCGCGGGTCTATGCGATCAATGGCCCAGGGATTCCAATTACTTCGCATATTGAATCCGAGGCAAAGGAGAGTGGGACTTCTGAAGAGGAGAGATCTGCAACGGATCATAATGTTAAAGGAGAGGAGCCCGAAACCGAGTCAGCCTGGGCCAATGAGGCCATTACTGGTCTCTGTATTTCTCGGAGCGGCCACATATTTGCGACGATGACCGTCTCCTCGATAGCTATTTGGCAGACTAGAGTATGACCTACGACCCTCTCAGTGTCAAGGAGTGTGAATTGATCTGCTGACTTGTCATTAGCCTACCGCAGTTGTTGCTGCGATTGCCCGCTCCGCCTCATCCCTGAAGACGTATGGGTCGAATGTCACTGTTCTGATGCATCCCGACTCGACGATACTTGCTGTGCAGACACTTGGTGGATATCTTCTTACTTATACGATTGCGAGTGACCCCACCAGTCGCGTATATCAACAACATTTCGATCAATCGAGTCAGAACCGTCGTCAGCAACTCGCTCGACTGTCTGCTGAGGACGATGCGAATGCAGTGCGTGATGTTAACCTCCGCTTTCGGATGGCAATCAAGATCGAATCTGGTATTGTCAAAGCTCTGGCTCTTGACCGGGAGCTGGTTGTAGCTACTGTCAAACCAGCGGCTGTCCAATGCATTCGGTGGGCTCCTGACGCAAGCGGAGCCCAGACCACGTCAGAGCTTCTCAGCCGTATTCTGAATGTTTCGAAGCGGACCTCTATCACGGATATGGTCTACGATCGAGCAATCAATCTATTGGTGTGGGTTACCAGCGAGGGACAAGCATATGCCGTACAACGACTGCCGGAGAGGACCAGCACGGCAGAAAGTCCAAGGAAACTTTTCCAAGGCCACTGTTTCCACGATCCGAAGCATGATGGCGAAAAAGCAGTCAAGGTCGCCATCAATGCCCGATTTTCACTGCTCACAGTGAACTGCGCCAATGGTGAGATCCTCGTCTACACAGCAAAAGACTATTTGGGGAATGTTCCATTCTCACACAAGCTCCAACTACCCGCTTCTCCTACCACCATTGGCAGCTTGAACTTTATGTCCTACTCTCCGGATGGATATTGTCTTTTTGCAGGCTATGATCATGGCTGGACAACATGGAGCGTATTTGGCAAACCGGGTGGAAACAGCTTCTCGGTGGATAGATCGCTCGCTGCAATCAGTTCTGAAGACTGGTTGACTGGGGTATCCAATGGATGCTGGGTAGGCGGAGGGTCAGACATTCTATTGACAGGGCGGAATGACCGTCGCATATGGATCCTTGAAACAGCCCGAAGCGCTCTTACGGGCTGCTTTTCTTCAGCTAATCTAGCCAGAGGCTTGTTACAGACTGGCACAGAAGTCATCCTATATCGCGGCCATGATTTACCTGATCTTATGACAATCTCGGGCAAGGACTCACTGTGGCATCATGCACAGTATCCTCCAGCATACCTCCATTCCCAGTGGCCGATCCGCTCGAGTGTCGTCTCGCAAGATGGGCGATACATAGCCATTGCAGGCAGGCGGGGACTTGCGCATTACAGCGTCAACAGTGGTCGCTGGAAAGTCTTTGAAGATCCGAAGACAGAAAATTCGTTTGCCGTCCGCGGCGGCATGTGCTGGTATGGGCACATTCTGATTGCCGCCGTCGAAAGCGATGGCTCCTACGAGGTTCGTCTATTGAGTACCACCAAGCTGTTTTGAAGCAACAGAAGGTTGATGGCTTTTTCACAGCTGCGTCTATATTCCCGAGAACTGTCTTTGAACAAGCATTCAATATTGCACACAGAACACCTTCCCTCGCCGGTAGTGTTCATAGGACCTTCTGGCGAAGATTCCCTTCTTGTCTACACTTATGATAACATCCTATACCATTATATTATCAACTCGATGCAGCAACGGATAACCCTTGTCCCTGTTGGTCAGATTGCGTTCAACGGTATTGTGCGGGCGCCTACCAGAGTTCGGGCGATTAGCTGGGTACTGCCAGAGGACCAGATGCGTAAGTGTCTAAGTGTCACCGTCATGGGTTTGTGAAATAGGGCAATTTCTAACGTCTGGTAGGGAACGGCGATCCGTCTCAGGATGTAAAGGTGGCATCAGTGCTGCTCTTGGTTGACGGAAACATGGTTCTGTTACAACCCAGCTTGGCAGAATCTGGCGAACTTAAGTATGATATGCGGGTCATTTCTCACGACGTTGAATACTATATTTTGATGCGAGATCAATTCTCCTTCAATTTTGCACCGCCGGTGGATGAGTCTGTTCCAGCCAGTCCCTCGGCCGAAGTGGCATTGAGTGCGTACCACCATAGTGATCAATCACTGCGGGATTCCCTCTGGATGTTCTGTGGCAAGGAATTGCTCGTCTGGGGGAATGTGCATGATGTTCTGCAACGAGAGGAAGTGCCAAAGCCAATACAAGTGCCTTTGGACTTCTACCCTCTGTCAGTACTGTTGAACAAGGGCATAGTTTTGGGTGTCGAGTCGGAAATGATACAAAGACGTGATGTCACATTTGCCGCTCTGAAATTCGCTATAAGGGTATGATCTTCACTTTTTATTCCTTATACATGTCATCCTTATTGACGTATGTACTGATGTTGACCAGACTCATTTATTTCTGCCATATGTTCTACAACACGATCTTGTCCGTGGAGACATCGCGGCAGCACTCACGCTATGCCAACGTTTCTCACACCTCTCATACTTCCCGCATGCCTTAGAAATGCTTTTGCACCACGTCCTGGATGACGAGGTTGATAACGAGAGAAAAGAAAGCAAGACAGATAATCCCTCTCAAAGACATGAGCCACTATTGCCGTCCGTCATTTCATTCCTTCAAGCATCACTGCCGATTAAAGTGTTTTTGGACATTGTGGTCCAGTGCACGAGGAAGACCGAGCTTCGCTCATGGCGCACACTTTTCAACCACTTGCCTCCTCCGAAGGATCTTTTTGAACAGGCCCTAAGACTCAACTCTCTCAAGACGGCGGTAGGGTATCTGCTCGTCTTGCAAGCCCTTGAGGACGAAGATGAGGGTGGTCACGAGGCGCCAATTGAGGACTATGTTGTCCGTCTCATTGGTCTCGCGTCGCAAAATAGTGATTGGGAGCTCTGTGGTGAGCTGGCGCGGTTCCTAATTGCTCTTGATGCATCTGGGGATATGCTTCGACGCGCTATCTCCCGAGTCGGGCTGAGAAACGCAGTTCAATCAGGAGGCGGCTTGAACTCGAACGGAGCAGGGATCAGTACCAAAGGATTAGGCTTGGGCATTTATTCACCACCGTGGCCAACATTATCTCCAACATCGTCCGTATCTCCACACTCCCGACAACAGATTCGTTCAGAGGACCAAGGGTCCCCTGTGGACAACGCGACAGACGATCAGAGCACATTCTCTGCGATCAGTCAGTGAGCATGTACGCAAGGGCGTGTCGCAACTTCTCTTCTACAATTGTACTCAATTGGAGATTCCATCCGTATATAGACGATTCCCTAAGCCTATCAGGCTCAGCGTTCTGACAACTTCAGACTAGCGTCGGAATGTTTCTTCACGATAGTCATCTATTCTTCTGCGACAGCAGTTTCATGTGCCATGACATATATGTGCTGCTTCCATGTAAGCATAATCAGTTGGCAATCCAAGCGAGAACAAGAACCTCAAATCATTTGTCATTTACAAGAGAGAACCAAGTCAATCCCAATGCATCTTCCACAAGCCGTCACCCAGATAATGCCCCTCATCCATGACCACACCCTTCTTCTTCTCCTTCATCTCCTCTGTCCCGACCGTCAATGGCCCGACCATGCACGCATGCTCCTTCCCTTCGGCCATGACCGCAACCACCTGCCCTTTCTCCAGCGCATGCTCCGCATCGGGTAACCGCCCACCGGGCGACGTCAGCCCCGGCGCCATGAGCGTCGCGCCCGAAAGCACGAACCGGATCGCGCCCCGATCGATCTGGACCGTCGGCAAGGCATCCGGGTAGGAATGGAGCAGTTTGAGATGCGGGATTGGTGGCCCGTCCATGGGCTGGTAGAACAGAGGGGTCGATTCAATGGTGTACAATGTCGCTCTATCCGGTCTGTAGCAGTGTCCCCATCATTAGCCTCCATCCCACCTTCAATCGATAAAATGCCGCCTCCAAAGGAACCTGGGGGGGTAAGGATTACAATTTCACCGCATCGAGCTGGGCTTTCTTGGGGAGGATCTCATCGATATACGGCTCGAAGCCGGGATAAGTGTCGAGGAATCTTTGGCGCAGGCCGCGCTGCACCGAGGACTTGACTTTTGAGCGGCCGCTAGGGGGGATACTTTATTTCCATCTTCTATTAGCATGCGTCATTGATTTGCTTCTCTCGCATAATTGCAGTAATACGGTGATTTTGTCTTGAAGCTGGTTCAACATTTGCTTGGTTTGCGGAGGGGTAGCAGATATCTAGTCGGCCTGCTGTCTCACGGGGTTCTCACAGACCCGACGGGTCCCAAGACACAAACCTGGGCTCGCAGGGTACTTACTCTTTCTTGAACATTTTGGGCTTTGC